AGTTTTTAATAGTAGACAATGTAACGGTTTATATGTAGTGTATTTTCATAATAAAATTAAGGATAAATAAAATTACAAAATATTACCATACAAAAGCTAATGAATTAGTAAAGTAATACTACGAATAATAATATCACATAATAATTTAATACTATAGTTAATTAACTTTAAGAATTATTATTTTGCCTGTGTTTTCGTGTAATGTCCAGAGTTTTAAAGTTTTAGATTATGAGTGGGGAGCGAAGAAGCTTATGGTTTTAAAAAGATGTTTACACATATTTTTTTCTGCGCCAACTTTTCTACCATCAATTTTGCTCCAATTTATAACGATAGCGATGTTTCTAAAAGGAAATCCGACTGGGGGGGGGGGTACTTTAGAGAAGTCATTTTGCAAATGTGAAAACCTGGAAAAACAGGAAAACCGGGAAAAAAGTAGGAACATCTGGAAAAATCGATACAACATTAAATAATTATTATAAAAGAAAATACATTAAGACTATATAATTATTTTACTGTATTACAGCATGTATATTGTTGACAAAGTATCACTATGAACTGAATTCCGCTCAGATTCGTTTTTTCGAAAGCAATGGTTTATCGTTGTTTACAAATATACATTAAATTACCTATAGCAGTTGCTGCATCTGTTCCCATTATCCTAAGACATCTTTTTAAATTTTGGCTCTGGTATTTTTATTTATTTTATAATAAAATGAATACGAATATGAGACATTATGCAATTAAACTTTTATCGCATAATATCTCACATTGCCTTTTATTCATTGTTTATTATTTTGCATTATTATAATAATAAATTATAATATTTAGCATTATTTCTTTCATTAATTGTTTTTTATTGAGTCCCATGAATAACCTTTTAAGTTCTTTTCAGGTTTGTCCATTTTGAAATTTCCGTAGACATCTTCTCGGTTTTCAAAACTGTATCGTGGGCCTTAAGAACAAAATAATTTATTTGCGAAATTATTCAAATGATCAAACAAAATTATAGAGCATAACTAATTTAAACATATTGATATCTGGTACAGTGATGCATATAATATGTAATAAAGTATATAGGTATGTATTTAAATTAAATATTAAAATTTTAGTGTAATTAATTATGTAAATGTATAAATTATATACGAAACACAATTGCCACTTGATTGACAAAATGGAGATACAAATGTCTTTAATGACCGTCAATATTAACCGAATTACATACATATTTACTTTTTCTTTATGTGGATTAATTATATTTAATCTAAGTTTTATCTTAGATGTTATTATTTTTTTTTTTAAAGATGACGTCTTTTAACTATAGGTATATATTATGAAATAATTGTATAAAGTAGCCTTTTGCGTGTGATTTTTTAATATAGGTAAAGATGAACAGTAGTAATATGAATTTAAGTAACTCTACTTTTTTCATATTAAAAATGGTGTTTTCAATGGAACTTTGAACCATATACAATATCGATAATTTGGGTAGGAAATCTCGGATTATTATAATATTTTGTTTAAATCATATATTCTATTGGATTCGGTTAAGCCTAGCAGATTTTTAAGCATTATTGCGTGTACGATGCAGCTGATGCAATTATATACGCTTTTTAATCATAGGGGTTACTTGGAATATTTATGTAATTAGCTATCAGTTTTTAATTTTACATTACATGTTTCAACATTTTATATTAGAAGATTTAACCGTTTAATTTAGTTCAAGTTTTAAAAGTAAAATTTCTTTTTTATTATATGAAATAAATAAAATTTTAATTAAATAAAAAATTATATGAAATAATTTATTATTTTTATTATGAAAATAGTTCGTATATGTTTAAACAAATTTACCTTTGAAGATTCGACTATTATAAACTTTAAATCCTTACTGTATTAAGAGCGGATTTATTGTTCAAAAAAATTGCCATTTTATGAGTGGTAAACAATTTGAATAACTGGATTAATTTAAATGAAATCTCAGATAAAAGATAAAACATAGTTTTTAATATTAAAGTAATATACTTCAAAAAATCATTCAATCGAAAATTCGTGAACTATCTCGGTCTTCTTTATTTTAATTCTATGCCTGTTATAATAAAAAAAACTTGTACATTTTCTAATGCTAAATGCTTAAGTGTGTATCTATTAATGTTTATATCTATAGCTTGTTTTATTTGTATTTGTTTATATATCTATATCTAATCTTATTAATTATACATATACCATGAAAAATTGAAATCTCTATCTTTAATACTTGTGTTGTTTACCAAACGTAGATCATTTATTTCAAATAAATAAAAAAAAAAAAATCTATGAACAATTTTTCTAGCAGAAATTTTGCTCTGATTTTCAAGTGTAGTATTTTTCCCGAAAGGAAATTTTTCTAGTGTAGTACTTTAATGAAACCGTTTTTTTGATTTGCCTAGGAATTTTCACAATAAATAGATAAAACCTGGAAAACTTAGAAAAAACAGAATGTATTACATTAAAACTTCCGTTAACGGTCACTCCTAAGAGACGGCACCTCTATGTAACGATTTTTTTTTTTGGTCCCCTCAAGTGTTATGTTTTTATAAGACATCTCTAAAGGACGATCACCTCTAAATAGCGGTCATTATTTCCGGTACCTTCGGTGACCGTTATATGAAAGTTCTACCGTGTTTTCAAATCGTAATTATAACGGTCTTTCACAACATGTTTAACCGAAATCCACTCAGAATAGTTTTTCGTTAGGAATGATTAATTGTCTATTAAGTTTTCCCTCTACCTTCCCAACTTCTCACGTACAATAGTGGCCCACTCATAGTGCGAAATATGTCAGATTGGTTTTTTTTCTAAATAGATCCTATGAATTTTATTTAACGCCGTTTAATCCATGAAAAATAGCACGCATCATATTTAATTATATAACTGTTATATACTATATGCATTGAACTGCAATCAGTCCTGTCAAAAAAAAAAAAAAAATTAAAATTGATATAAAAATGATTTTTTTAATCTAATTTATATTGTGTAGATACTACGTAATATTAAATACCTACTCTATTAGAATTAGTAAATTGGATTTGCATGTTCATGACATATTAGCAAAAAATGTTACCTACCAATACATAAAATATCCGCGGTCACCAAATTATTATTACCGATATTACATTTACGAAATTTGCTTCGATCAACTTCCGGGGTTTTATTTGAACAGAAATATTATACCTAGTGAACTATATTATTATTATATTACGGCGGTTTCACAACATTTTCGGTGGTTTATCCAACTTGTTTTTGACTTATTTGTCATGCGTGAAGACCCAATTATAGGTATAGGCTGTGTAGCCTGCACATTATTTTTCTGAAACGTTTATTTACCTATACACAGGTACATTACTCTTATATAATAATAGTAATTTTCTACAATATAAACGTAACGAGTTCTCAATAAAAACGGTCACACATGAATTCTTCAGTAAAAAATATTGAAAAAAAAAAAAAAAAACCAAACTACGATAATAAAGTATGTTGGTATTGTATACTATTATATTTGTGATACGAAAAGTATAAAATAAGCACAAAATATAATAATATTAATTATAACTGATTATAATATAGACAAGTAGATATATAGGTATTTCGACAATCATAAATCTTACGTAACATTAATATGTATTTTTAGGTACTAGGTTGATATAGGTGAATTCTAAAATAGGTTTACGACGGCTTCACATTTCCCTTTAAAATATTTAATATAAAAAAATATAAAATAATAGTAAATATATAAACGATAATAAAATATAATATAATATAAGTAATTATATATTGTTATATATTATAAAATTTTTTTTGACAGAACAAGTCAAACAAGTTAATATAAGGACTAGATTATCTAACTGTATTCCAGTGTCCTTTTATGTTGGAAAATTTGTATAGATTTCGACAATAATAATGTAATATTATTGCCTCGAAGAAGATCACCTGGAAATTAAATTTATATTATAGTGTTTTAATTAAAAATAAAAATAATAATGCATAATGCATTAAATATTCAGTATTTTTATCACATCATCTCAAGCGAATTAATATTTTATTATGAAATATTGGAGTGTTGACGAAATTCTACATAATATGAAATATTGATTCAATTTATTGTGTTGTCGACTAAATGTTTAATAAATCGCACAAAGCTATAGAAAGTACTATTGTTTTAAAATTTAAAAAAAATAATAAATATCAGGTCATTTAAAATAATAAACATTAAGTGTTTATTGCCGAAACGAAATATTTGTTGTTTTTAATCATAAATAATAATTATCAATGTTATTTATTTATTTGTGTGCTATTATTTTTAATGAATTTCGAACCGCGGCGTCGTGTATAGGCAGTTTATGTACATTTATGAAAACCGACAAACTTGATTGACTAAATTTAATATTTTTGAACGGTTTGTAATGAATTATGATTATTTATTTGTGACAAATCAAACGCGTTCCTAATAATGAACTATGCCATCGAAATATTGATACCTTCAAAAGCATACAGCCGTTGAACTATATGACTTGATTTGCGTATACACGAAAGTTATCATTTCAAGGTAAAAAATATCAGTTACGAAAAAAATTAGATTGTAGTTAGAATAGTTATTAAAGTTATTAGTTATTTAACACATTAGTTTAATCCGACATTTCAGAAATAATTTTTTGCTAATGTGAAAAGTAAATCGACATCCGATAATATCAATGTGTGTGCAACGAGTTTTAAACGGTGAACTTAATCTTTTCGGTATATGTACGGCCAATTTTGTTTTTATTTTAATACGTCTGTTAATTTAACGTCTTCATTATAGGTTTTGATTCACCTTAACCTAACTTCACTCTACAGAAATTTAACCGAACTTTTGAAAAACATCCTAGGGTTTTGGGGGGTTCGAATTCTTATTCGCCTTCTCCCTAAATTTCGTGCAGTTTTAATAAAGATAAAAAGTTTTTTCACCTTTGTGACAGGGATTAATATATCTAATAATGTTCGTAGTGGTCCGGGTGGTTGGAATGGCCGGTCTTGTGGACGACCGCGTTAAAACCGTTCTCCTTATCGGCGGTGTATTCGACGGTTCTCAAGGTGCCGTCTGGGTCGTGTACGCTGTAGGATCCCTTTACTACGTCTCCGTCTCTGTATTCGTGCGCGGTCTTGTAGTCACCAGTGTGCGGGTCCTGGACGCCATATTTGTACGAGTACTTGGGGTGAGCCTGTGTAAACATACCGGGTTTCGGACAAATATTGTTTAATGAGTTATCAGACAAAATAGGTACATAATACATATTATAATCATAACAGAGTCACGATGATTCGATTTTTTTGCGTAAAATAGTTGAGGTAAGGATAGCAAAAGCAAAAAGATATATCTTTGTGCCATGTGAATTCATCAAATCAAAACTTTTTGAAATGAACAAAAATATGACCCACGCTAACATAATAAGATTGTGATGACGTATCATCAATGTTACTAAGAAAAGATTGAATTGAAACCGATTGAAAATAATATATAGAGAAAGATATGTAAACCCGATTGTGTATGGGGGGGACTAGCCTGTGGGGAAGAAAATTCAGTAGAAAGGTACAAAGAAAATGAAAATGGCTTCATAAAAACCCAGCGAATACAATGGCTGGGCCATACAATGCGGCGTAATGATGATACAACCATTAGAATAATAGTGGGCTGAAAATCAGACCAAAAGAAACGACAGAGCCACCCAGTAGAAGGAAATCAATTTGTTGAGAAATATCTGGAAGATTTATAGGAGTGCGAAACTGAAATGATGTAGTACTAGAGATAAATGAAATGATTAAGTGATGGCGGCAAAAACTCTTGGAGAGTAATAGGCCAGACGAGAGAAAAAGAGGTAGAAAAGAAAAACGATACAATATTGTTAAAGAGATAAAAGTTTGCGAATGGTTGACGCGTGGATTTCGAGTTGGTCGTTTGTAGAAGTTCCCGCGGTTCTCGAGGGCTCCATTTATCATGACTGACTGAATATATTAAACATTATATAATGTTAAACATTGTCACGGATTCGCGTCCGACAACACCGCCGATAATATTATGACGACCGTATGTACGGTATACTCACATAGTAGTCCACGTGCTCGTCTTCGTCGTGTCCGTAACCTTGGGGATACGACTGTACCGTTAGACTGACGGCCAACAGAACGATAGAACCGACGATAACCTTTGGTAGAAACAGAAAAAAAAAACATATTTTAATCGTTAAAAAAAATAAAAACATTTCACATCGATAGAGAAAGAAAAATAAAAATACAAGAACACTGCAGTTTATTTACTAGGTATGCTTTATGTACCTTGGAAAACATATTGATGTTTGTGTGTGGACGAAAATACGAAACACGAAAAAACGGTTGAAACTGCACAGTATATATTTGTATAATATGAGTTTGTTCTAGATCGATCTAACGACTTGTACCGGTGTAATGTACTGACTGTTCGGCGATCAACGGTATATATAACTGCAGTCCGGTCCTGGGCTCCTTCCACTTTTTGTCCGCACCGTACCTATCCGTGTTGCAAACACAAACATTGCATAAACGTTGCTGCATACGCGGGTACAATAAACACATACACGTTATTATTTTGTTTATATGACGAAACGCTATACTCCGCACGTATAGGATGTGTTCATTATTTTTTTTCGTACAGAATATGGGTACTTGGGTACGTAATTATTATAAGATATGGTAGCCAGTAGGTGTATAGGTAGGTAGGTAGGCCGGTATCCATTACAATAACGTTCGGTTGACATTCGAGGTTTCATTACTATATTATAATATTTGTTCCGGCGGTGGGGATTTTCAAAATTGATTTTACGTTAATTTTTTATATTTTCGAAATCTCGTCCATATCCGGACAATGTCGCGGCACGAGAGGAATCGTAGTAGGCACTTAGTATACACATACGGCTCGTAATGTCAACGTTATTAATTTTATTTTCCAAATATACGATTAAGAGGACGTGATACCCGTGTATGTGCTGTCTCCGTTTTATAAACGTATACGGACATAGCAAATTTCCGTTCGGCAGGGAAAAATGTGCGCAATCAGTTTTAATTTTTAGTGCCGAATCGAACTATTATCAAACGTAAAGGTAAGAACATTATCTGTGCAATTGTTCCGGTGTTTTTCGATATTTTATTTTTTACCCGAGATAATTTTTTTTTTGGGTTTCGATAATTCGCATATTTATAATTCGCTTAAAAATTAAAACATCGAAAAACACCTCTGCGATTGCACAGATAACTAATGTTCTTAACTCTTAGTTAAATAATAATAATAATTTTGTAAATTCACGCTAATAACAAAACTAATAGCACAAAATTGTCTCTGCTGAATGCGAAATTGCTACGTCGTATGTTTCTAAAACGGAGACAGCACATATGCAGGTACTCTTACCTCTTACCTCTTAATCTCAGCTGTTTTTAATATCTTCGATACAGAGGTATAATTATTATCGTCAAATAAACTATTCGTAAAAATGATCGGAACATGTATGTTATTGTTTATGAATAGATTCTATACGAATACGTATACGAAAATATAGATGGTATTTCTTACATTGGATTTCTATTAATCTGTTTAATAATGATATTATGTCCACTCAAAGTTTGCTACTCCAGGTCTCTTAACTCAATATATAATTTAAAATTACAATAACTCGTGAGTCACATAATTTAACATATTTTTTTTTAGTTTATATCTTACATTGCGGTTTGAAAAAAAAATTAAAAATGTTAGCCATCAATTAATATTCTTATTTATTTTAATAATAGGAAATGTTTGCGCGCGATTCATAGCCGAATCTATGACACGAATCGATTGAACGATTCCGTGTGTAACTTGAAGCGGGTTTCCAAAATTTAACCTCTAAAAGATGGTTCACAGCAGTGGGGGATGTACCATTTCTGCCAAAATTTAAAATGTCTGTTTCCGCCATTGCCCGTTTCTACCAAATTAAAAATAGGTTTGATTCCCGTTTTCGACAATATACCTGCTAAACTTATTATACTTACATTACAAAGTTTTATCAAAAAGTTACTTTTACATAATATAATATAATATTGTGTCTGTTTGTTCCGTTTCATGTAATAAATTGTAGGCGGTAAATTGAATAAACAGACAAAATATTATATATTAAGAAAAGTATGTTTTTGATATAACTTTGTCATGACATAAAAATGAAAAATTTTCTCTCAAAATGTAAAATTTATGGAAACAAATTTTACCAAAGCAGGTATATTGGAGGAAACCAGCGATGATGGAACCGGGCATTTTAAATTTTGGTGGAAACGGGTAAACACCTATCAATGATGTCTCTAAGTTGGATGGGGGAGGGGGTGGTAGTTGATGTAAGACGGTTCTGTGAAGAAAATTCCAGCCAAATTTTTTGTTACGGTGGTATATTTAATTATTAAAAAAGTCATTTAAAATGTTTAAAGTTTAAATTTAAATGAACATATTAAAAAATTGAGCCGAAAACAGGAACATTGTGTAATGTAACTTATGGGTACAATTTGCCCAATTTAATTTTATGAAAACATGGTTAATCAAACTTCGCTCTGAAACGTTTATTGTTAATCGTTAATATAAATTAAATTACTCTCTGTGTCTTGACTTCTCAATATATTTTTTTTAATTTTTAATAATCTATACGTTAATATCGTATATCAATGTGCATCTAATTGAATTGTGAAGAAAATATTATTTTAAATATAAATGTAGTTATTTCAGAAAAATATGTGAATTATAGACTATTTATTTAGTTTATTTTATACGTGAGCGTATATGAATTTTAATAAAGAAGTTTTCAAAATTTGGTTATCTTAAACACCTACAACTTTTTGATATTTTTGCATAGTCTATTTGGATTCTAATAATTTCCAAAAATATTTATCTTAATTATAAAAACGAAATTTCGTCCACTAAAAATATCTACAGTTTTATACCAAACTTGATGAAAATTTGAATTCTAACATTTAAAATAAATGTCTACTTTTTGCCATGAAATTTAACCTCTTTAGTGTGGCTCACAGTTGGTCTTTCTATATTTTTTTTGGTTGATTTCTGGGTTACCTTAATGACACAAATAATAATAAAAAAAAAAAAAAAAAAAAACAGTTGTCATTATTTAATTGCCGGTAATATCATTTTTAAAAGATAAATTACCGGGCGACAACGGTTAACTGCAATAGGGATGAGGGTGAGCCCGGGAAATACCGGGTAATCGAGCTAATAAATAACCTATAAACTGTATAAAAGATTTTAAAACTACGAATTTTGCTGCAGTTGTTATGTAATCTGCCGACCTTCGATACATAAAATTGAACGGCCTACATAATATATTTTCTTCTTTAAAAAAAATAATAATAATAATAAAACACATTGTAATTTTTTTCTCATTTATTTTATACAATAATAATAATAATATATCGTTTATATAGATCATAAAACCTATAAACTCTTGACAATGATAAAAAAAAAAAAATTACCTACTGTTTATTGAAAGCGGTATAAACGACTTCATACCTATTACACATTGACAAGCAGAACCATTCGACCATGTACAATTGTTAATTACGTATATATAATAATCTATATATACTTATACATATATATATATATAATATGTATAAGTCAATGTGAGTGCGTAAATATAAGTATAATATTCCGAATAAGACCAATCATAGGTGTATATTTTTTCGACACCATACGTTTTAAAATGCACTATGACATTAAAAATGTATGTATAGGCGCGAGTACCTACATATAGATTGGTTAATGAAATTAAAACGATTCGATAAATGTCTTGATATTATTTTGTTAAAAATAGAATATAATTTTTAAACAGATAATATTAGATTCCGAATAAAGCGAAAAAGCTATTATAGTTTTACGAAGATGTAGTTGTTTTCTTTCGGAAATCTTACAGTTAGTAAAAATGTTCAGATTTGCTCATGTCTTATCTTAAAAGATACGAATTTTTCGTTTGATAGTAATTAATTTAAAACATTTATCGACAATTCTACTATAGTTCACCTCTTAGTTTAATTTTTTTTATGTAGTCTGATTACTGTTTATTCACAATAAGAGAAAAACGACGACTATTATTGCTACTGCTCTCAAAATCGTTTTTTCATGTATATAAACTTAAATACCTTATATATATATTATACCTTGCCTACTACTCACTTTTCTTTTAAAATTTAAATAAAAGAGTATATCGTGTTAAATTTTGCGTAAAAACCATACACAGTTTAACAGCATAGTAAAATTAATCATCGAATTCTAAAATTTATTTTCATAATAATTAATATAGATTGCATTTCGCATAATAATATATTTTGAACGCAGATTAGTGATTTCGCATGATCGTAGTATTAGGTTTTATGTTTCATTAACCTAAATTAGTTGTACAACTTTTAGATTCGTCAAATTCCAATATTTTATATTGTAAATTAGTGATACTTTCGTCGTATGATGAAAAACAGATTTCAATTAGAATTGATTTTTGGTGCAATGTCCCCAACTGAACTGAACGGTAACTTATCCAAAATATAATAAATGTTTATATTTTTGTTTTAATTATTTTAATATTATCGATATAATTTTTTGTCGGAATTTATTTGATGAAAAACGAAAGTTTTTCATGTGTATTAGAATAGGTATATGATTTAAGCGGCCGATTTCTCGACCTATACGTTAAATAAGAGTATCGGAGTATTTGTTGTGCAGGTAAATACTTCCATTATTCTTTACAACATAAAGTATCCTCTCGGACAAGTGATATTAGCTTAGATAATGGTACGCGATATTAGAAATAACATAATATGGACGTTTTGTGTTCGTTCTATCGGTTTCTATAATATAATCTATGTCTCTGTATAGTATATGATGACACGGTCGGTCGATATTGTTTTCGAATAATGATTTTCGGATGATATTCTTTTGACCGAAAACGCTTTTATTTTGCGTTTAAACTATCCAGCGTTTCTCAACTTGGGGTAAGTGAAAAACGCATAATTAAATAAATACATTCCATTATACACATAAGTTCCAAATCTTCCATTGGTGATAACGTAGCAGACTCTCGAAGTTCTACTTGATGGAATGTAAGAATACAAGTTTTTTTTCAATGTAGCTAAGGGAACCAGAAATAAAAAATGTTCATAATTCAAGGGTGAGAGCTTTTATATAAACACCGAAATTTAAAAATCAGATTTCGAGGTGTGGTTGAACCCCATTTGTAGTCCATCTAGCCAAATTGCCACCCGGGATTGAAATTCAGATCTTTGATTGATATTGTTTTTTGTCTAAAACTAGTATACCGCGATCATTTTTAATTCTTCTGGATAAAAACTTTTTGAAATTGAGAAAAACATTCCAAATAAAACATACCTAATTTGGAATGGTCAAATATAAAGTCATTGAAACAAAATCGTTTTCCCCCGTTCCGGGCACGCAAAATAGTATGTCGGCGTGGACGAAGGGTTGGTATTAAGAGGGTTGTAGTTGATTTTAAAAATGATTTCCTAATTTTTAAAATTTGAAAAAAATATTTGTAAGTTTTAATAACCACATTTTTAATTGGAATTGCCCATTAATGCACATTTAAAGTGAAGGAGTATGGCCGTTTTACGTTGTATATAAACGTATGAAGCAGTTATACGCTTGATTACTTACATTAATTCGATTTTAAATATGAAAACATATTTTAATTACTCGTAAACGAGTTTATTTAGCATCAGTTAGGGCATTTTTATAATTTTATAAAATTATTTACGCGAGTAAAAAATTTGAAATTTATAAAGATTTGTTAAGTTTCAATGGTGAATACGATTCGATCGACGCAAAGTAAAATTGTTTATAATAGATAACACATAAATATTTGATTTTTCCAAAATCAAACCACAGAGTATACCTCAATTTTCGTTAGGCATTTAGGTCTTTTCGACAAAAATGTCGCGGTGTTTGCTGTGGCCTTAAGCCAACAGCGAAAAAAATCTCTCTGGATGCGGTAAGGGGGGGGGGGGCAAAATTAATTGGCGGAATCGTCGGCTACGTATAAATTTAAATTCGGGCAAGCGGCGGCGTTTCCAAATGCGCGGCGAACTAATATAAATTCGGCATGACAAGTTCGACGAACGAGACAGAAAACATACGCACACGCGACCGGGAGAAATGTCGAAACTTCTTTACTGTAAACGGATCATTCGCCGCACGCCATGGCTAATCGTAACAGTATGCCGCCTATATATTCTCCGGTTGTGCAAACCGAAAAATATACACTTAACAAGGCGTGATCGAACACGGCCTTGTGTTGTACCGAGAAAAACCCTACTAAACACTTCACGCAATTGTTGTAGGAAAATATACGTGAGCGTGCGCGCGCATGATAATAATATATTTATAATATAAATATATATCACACGAGCCGCCAGTGTTCACCGGTGCCGCAACTAGGTTCGTTTCGGTCGCTTTTCAAAATGGTAAAAAAAAAAAAAAAAAAACAGAAAAATAGCTATATAAATAAACGTTTTGCCGACAACAGTCTCCATTTGTCCGGCATTTATTTATGACGGTACAGTTGATTGCACGTAAAAGCAAAATCACAGCGATTCCTTATTTCCCGCAACCGTCTTCAAACCGCGAGATTCGTCTCCGATGAACCGACAGAATTCGAAACGGACGTATATCCGACATGTGTATTAACGTTCTCTGTTTGAAACGAGCCACAGAATCCTATGATTAACCAGCAGGGCGTTATTCGTTTTCAGTATAGGTATAGGAACCTTGTCGTACAACTCAACATCTGTTCTAACGGCGTCCCAATGGTCTTAAGTTCGAATCCGACGATCGTTTATCACATTTTTTGCGTTTCCCTCCCACCGGTTTATTTAAATCTCACAGGGTTTTTCATCGACCAAGTTTAAGGTTTACATATAGGACTATAACATTAGAACATATAACTTCCTCGAAGCAGTATCAGGCATTGGCGACGTAAAGGGTGTTGGTTTGAATCAATCACGTGATTCACAAAAAACGTGTGAATGGATCGTAGATTGCTTGGTGTTCAGAAATATAATAAAAATAACTATGTTTTTACAAAAAAAATGTTTTTAAAAGAATTTTAGACTGCGGAAATTCGATAAATTTCATTAAAAACCCCCAGGGAACCTGTAAAATATTGCAAAAAATTAAAAAAATTGTAGATAACAGATAAGGTGTGGTAGGGTGTGGTAGGTATTTTTGGTAGATGGGTGAATGGAAAATCGAATCGGTGATTAGGTAAAAAAAAACTTCCCGCCGCCACTAGTATCAGGTTTGGATCAACGATAAAAAAACACGTGTTATCGATACTATTCAATTTTTGAAAAGTGCCGATCTGAGGATTCTATTTGCGTTTGTTCCTCGTTTCAAATAGGAAACGATTATGGATATCCATGAATTTCTCATTGGTAAACAGTTCAATGATCTAAAAACCAATGTAAAGCGGACTAAAATGTTAATTTTGAAATGATATATAATGTCTACATTATGATATTTATCATATTTACATATATTATATAATATTGTAGATTGCAAAAAAAAATCCAAAATTAAATTTATCATATATACCAACATAACAATCATTAATACATATTAGGAAAATCAAATTGTCTACTAGTTTTAATGTTGACACTGCGTAAATATAAAATGAATACAAATTTACTAATAAGCAATACACAGATTTTATAGAACATATTCTACTATAAAAGCTAGGTACCATAATTTATTTTCTGTTTGTAATCAATTTTTCGCAGCAAGTTGTAGCGCCAAAACAGCAAACCATCCAGGAACAAGAAAATAATTTTATTCATAACTTGAAGGGTATTGTGGGAAAAAGTGACTTTTCTAGTTATTTCATCATATTTTTCAATTCTTTTGTAAGTCTTCTACAAAATTGATTAATGATTAATGTAAATATGCAGAGTGATTATTTTTATCATGAACCAGCAATTATCTCAGAGGATTTTAAGTGAATTCAATTTCTAATTTTTCTAATCATTATGGAATTGTTTAAGCTTTATTTTAAATCCATTTTTAATTTTTTACCCTTACCTCAAGTACCACAAATAAATACATACTTTTGATTTTCAATTAAGAACACTCCCTTTTGAACACAAATTTGAATAGAGAATATTTTTCTAGACATTTCTATATGCATACCATTAATATTTACCGTTTATGAGTTATAACAGTTTAAAGTTTAGACCGGATGAGTAGAGAAGGGTTATAGATAGGTTATATTATACTAAAAAATAAAAAAAATCAATTTTATAAATACATATTTATAATAATGTATTTAATTTAATTTAATAACGAAAAATCATCCCGTAATATTCCTAATTAAGGTTAATTTTAATTGATACAAATATAGATCCGGTAATCTCAAAAATGTACATACTGATGTAAAATGTGGACGTTCCGTGTAAATTTAAGAAAACGCCCTCAGGAAAATAAAATATTATAACCGTACAATTATTTTTCAATGAATTGTTCGAAAAATTCGCGAGAAGAAGGGTTATCATAGCTTCTCCCCTCTGGCTACCCGCCCGTCCTGTAAATAACTTCACGCCCCATATACGTTGTATTGCAATTCTAAACCGCATGCATCACTTTTTCTTTTCAGTCGATATTATAATACATATTTGTATAGACCGCATTTTGAGAGACTACTCGCATTTCGCTTTCCTTTGAAACAATTGGTAAACTAGATTATAGTATAGGTATACAGTTTATACTCGTATAACATTATATTATGGTACAAATAATATTTAGGACGAACATTTCAATATCAGTTTATACATTGTCACAACAATTGGGGAAAAATCGTTCGCTGTCATATTACGTATTCGTTATGTATTACAATAATACTATACGACTGTTGTCAGCTGAAAAGGAGGCTTTTTACGTGACAATAAAATCCACCGGAAAATATTATGTTGCATTGAATTCATAATAATATTACCTGATGTGTATGGTTTGCCACTGATTGCGCGCATATTACTTAATAAAATATTCTACTATAGAACAATTAACATTTTTTTCTAAAAACTTGCAGAGATATTATGCACATTCATTTCAGAGACAGTCACGCATGTTTAATGTGTTTAATGATCGGAATAAAATCATTACTGTTACATTTGATTTCCGGGGGCGAACACAAGTGAATATTATTTTTGAAATTTTTTTAAAAAATACGCTATCTTATTTATTTTAATTTTTGAGGGGGGGGAGAAGAGAACGTTTCTGATATTTTAGGGAGGTACCTACGAAACGACCTCTGCGTTTATCACTATTGATTACAATAATATTATTAAACAGACAAATCTGGCTGTTAAAATTACAATTTATAAATTAGAAAAATCAAAATGATGGTTAAGTAGGTAGAGAAAAAATATGTTGGTCTTCGAATCGTAATCGTTCGACTACGTACTACTAGCTCACGAACTGTTATAAATTATTTAAATTCATAAAATTGATGACCATCTCTTAACCCCCGCTGATCTGCGTAACCGTGTATTATTGTACATTTTTATCTGCTTTGTTTATCGGAAATTACTTTTATATTTTTCTGTGAATCGTATAAGATCTAAAACACAATAAAATAACATAATTATTTTAAATATTTTCATATTTAAATAATTATAAATAAATAAATAATATTATGTTATAATTAGGTTTTTTTTCCTAACGCGAAGCCCTCAATTTAAGTAAAATGTTGAGGATAGTGTTCTGAGGACCGAATTTTGGGCCCTGCTCTCCTTAAAGGATAATCCTAAAATATAGTCTAAATATTTTTAATTTATATAAATCAATTATTCTGATCTCTTGGTGGTTATTGTTTTCTCTTTGTATATGGAGAGTACGAAGAAAAAACTAAACTAAGAGTTCGAATTAAGTTTAATGTTAAACTTTTTAATATAGTAGTCATAACAAAACAACGTCTTATTATACTATGACTAAGTTATTTTCTGGTTTAGGATTCTGGGTGGACCGAAGAAGATTATGGTTTTACAATGATGTTGATATTTTTATTTATTTTTATCTATAAATAACTTTTCTACCAGAAATCTTGTATATCTCGCTCAAATATTCAAGTATAGTACTTTTTCTGAAATGAAATCTGACTGAGGTGGTACTTGGGGAGATCATTTTCAATTTTTCCAAGATTTTTTCCAATAAATGGGAAAAACCGGGAAAATATACGAAATGTATGTATTAGTTAAAGAATATTACTGCCTTTTTTTTTGTGAATAACTTTTCTACCACCAATTTTTCTCAGATTTACAATGATAACAATTTTTCTGAAAGGAAATCTGATTGGGGTGGTTCTTTAGAAGGGGAGCTCATAAAATATTGGAAAATATTTTGGAATCGTATTTTTTGGGGAAAATATTTTGTAAAAACCGTATTTTGTAGGAACCGTATTTTGTTGGAAACGTATTTTGTCGGAAAGTTTTTTTCGAAAAAATAATTAATTGTGTCCGTCATATAAATTATATATTTACTACCTTACTGTTTGTGACCAAAAGGAAATGTAGGGGCTATGTAATAACAATATTGATAACGGGGCTACTAGACATAAGAAATATAATGCGATATGGATTTTAACCTCGTTACAAAGTTTATCGTTGCTGCCACCAGGTGTTAGTACGTTTGCTTTCTATTGCGAATAATTGAGAAATATGAAGTAGATAACACCACAAAGGTACAGAAAAAAATGTGTGTGATACTATACTAGTGTACAATAACGAGTGTGAACCTAAATATGATATAATCGTATATTATTCAAGAATATTTCGTAAAAAAGTTCCAAGACGCTGAATATTTAATCAATAATTGGAAATTGCGTTTTATGACACGAACGACACGGATTTCGGATTCGATTAGGTGTAATATAGTTATGCGTTGAGTCACATACTCTTAATCCGATAGACGTCCCCTGCAATCACATTATATGTGAACAATTTTATTTGATCGTATATTGCATTGCGTTTTGTTTGAGCAGCAGATAAAATGCCGTTGCAGGAATCGAAAACGTTATGATGATTAAATAATAATAATTTATTATTGTATTGTAGGTGACAACACGAATACCGGAAATATGCGATCCGGCAAACTGCAGCGTGAAGTCGAAATTTCTTTCGCGGTTAGCGTTAGGTTACCCGATACAGATACTCGCACACAATTGCCTTCGTTAATATTATATGTTACGATGGGAGAAAGGAATGTATATTATTATATAGTGTGGCGTGTTTCTAAAAATCGGAATCTAACAATATAGTTAACACAATGAGTAAATATCGAACGATTAAGTGAATTACCGCACGCCGGTCAATCTAATAAATATAAGTAATAATATTATAATGGCACCTGTACCCACTCGAGAATTTATATTATTATTATTATTATTATTATCGAATCTGTTAAAATAGCGTCAATCTTGTCAGCGGATTAAAAAACGATTCCGAAAGGACCTGTACCTATCGATTTCGCCATCAAAGTGGTTACTTGTATCAATCTATACATAGTTATTGTTATATCGATCGATCGTTATTCATTCCGTTCGGCCAGGCAATACATAAATCGTAATGACATTTTATAAGCTTCGCTCCGCAACGATACTTGACGACATTCGACCTGCCGTCGAAAATCACGTCGGATTAAATAACATAATATTATGCCTAATCGATGACCGAATGATTCGATTGAACGGTTGATCAAATGTGACAAATGAATAACTCGATATGGGGAAATCTATGCACATTTTTCACGTTGTGAAAATAATAAAAATAGAATATCGATCTTTAACCTCGTAACGTTCCGTTTGATAATAATATTATTGTTACATCATTCATTCTTCATTATCGTCTGACATTATTTATTGTCAAAAGGAAATCTCGAAAAAATCACTTTTGTATAAACGCATAGACATTACCAGCAATAGAAAAACATGGAACGGCAACATCGGGAATGGCAACATTTGGAATTTAAAAATGTTGTATCAGAAAAAAAAAAGTTGTTCTAAATTGTACCGTTTCATAATAATATATGATAATTTCAGATAATGTTGGCCTCCTCTTTTTTAACGCTAAAATTATGTTTAGCTATGTACCCAACTCTCGTTTTAAAGTCATCGACATATTATATGTTTGACTTAATTTTATAACGTACATAAAATATTTTATACACTATGTTCGTGAAAAATATGACACATTTTTTAAATTCAACGAACCGTGAAGCATTAGATCAGATTTGTATTTTATTGTTTCGCATATCAATATAGATTTAAGATTATAAGGCGTAAATAACGTATTAATAATATTATTATGATATTTCTAACATTTTATAACCCACCAGATGTGTGTCCGATTTTTAAAAGAATCAGTGCGATTGAGAACATTGAATATAGAAAAAATGGCATTCATATTATACAAGTCAAAAACCGAGTACATTATATAAATTAAAACGGTTATGATGTTCAAATAATTTGGATTCCTGGACATTTAAACAATTCAGGAAACGAGGTAGCTGATTGAGCTGCAGTAAAGTATATGCAAATAAGAGTAAACACTCTGACGGCGATAAAAGTGCTAATTATAACCGAATAAGACTTTATAGCTTTCATCGAACACGATTGCACTCATATGAGACTAGATAATTGGTATTGCAATACATACATGATCACAATGTTCAATTTGACCGCTTCTATTAGATTTACCTAGACATTTTGAAGTCATTCTTACGAGACTTATATATTTGAATGTATAAGAATGATCCTCCTATTCGTTCTTTCTGTGTTACTTAATTTACCCACTTCATGACCGAATGCCATTCATACTCGGATTACAAGTTAAAATCGAAATTTTCTGGCAGTATTTCAGAATCATTTAGCCGAAACCTTACCGCATTAACTGTCATCGACTTATGTTAGCACAAGACCTACTATATAAAGATCCTGCCCGTAGTTTTTACAAACTGTAAATAATTACTAATAACAAAACTGTTAACACTTACAATTAAAAAGTCTTAACATTTTCTTAACAAAAAATGCAATTAATTTTAGTTTGTGTATTAAGGGTCTATATACGATCTATTTTTTGCTCAAAACGTAGTTTATACGGTTAACTGTTCTGCCTTGCAGAGACATCCTATTTCAATGTATGTTAAAAGTCTTCATCATACCAAAAAAAAAAAAAAAAACAATAATTTAAATTAAATTACTCTATGGGATTGAAGAGTTCACTCTGTAAAGCATGTGTTTGGTGTAAAATCCGAGTCACTTGTAATCGTTTCGTTAATAGACTCAAATATTTTGATAACGAGAAAAATGTAAATAATTATGGAAGTTCAAAATAAACTGTTATCATAATTCATCCCATTTAAAATAAACGGGTAAAACAACTGTAATTTCCTTCCAGTTTTATGTGTTTCTTAAACTTGAAATTACTTAAATTGCATTAAATATATATGTTTACATGTTTTAAATACAAAACATTCGGCATTGAAAATATTTTGTACAAATCTGTTCACCCGTATATGAGGTGTACAGTAATAACTGCAGTTTATTTTGAATTTTGTAATTACTATAATACAGAAAGTTATTTAATTTGTATTTAGATGCAACGATAAATAGTTGCTGACGAAATACGATTCTGAGTGAAGTTCGATTAAACATGTTTTGAAATGCTGTAATTCTTTCGATTTTCGTCAAAATTTGAACATAACTCTTTGGTCGACACCAACAGCGTTGCCCAAATTGCCCCTTCTATAGCATCATCAAACCTACATACGTTGTTGCCACTACCGCCGGTATTGTGCACGGCTACTCAACTAACACTCTCTATTCCACCACCTCAACCGTCGCAAAATCTTTGTCAAATCACGTCGCAACGTTTTAATGCGAAATGTTGTGACTCAAGTACTTAAAATGCCTATAAACATCTCAAAAATCACCAGAATTTTACAAAAATTGTACCACGTCGATAAAATATCAATACAAGTGACCTGTACAAATTTCAGACCTCCACAATTATTTTCAACAAAATTACGACAAAAATAAAACCGTGTATTTTCTGTTTTTCCTTTGTTTTTCCAACTTATTACCACAATGAAAATCGAAAATCAACCTTACCAATGCGTCAGCTATTCAACAAAAAAAGTCTCTTGTCATTTTTTGTTCGTAACATGATTTCTAATAGAAAAGTTTTGTGTTGATAGACAAAAAAGAAAGTCGTACACATGTAATAACACCAAAACATTCCATATCCACATTCCGCTTAGAATCTAAATGAATTATAATCATAGGACTTTAAATAAAAATATAGACAATTTTATATTATGAAAATGACTTATGTTTATATGCTATAACAAAATATATAAAAATTACAAAACTGAAGTAGGCATACTATACTACGGTCACCGATTATATTATAGTTAATATTTTTTGTTTTATCTTTGCACGAAAACGGGATTGCAGTTACAATTCTGTTTCGGCTTTTGGGTAGGTATTGGATTACATACTAAGTTCGGTGAGCAAAAGTCTAATATACGAGATATGCATACATAATAATAAGTACATATTAAAAATTATACGTAAACGGAACGTTGTCGATAAAAATAAAATTGAAACATAAGTAATCCAGGTACAATTTACACAAATTACATCACTCCTCCGGGCGGTACAAAAATAATGTCCTTAATATTCAAAACGTTTCGCTTTGAAACCATAGACGTTGAAATTGCTAGGTGGCAACATGAAGACCGGATATATTTGTGTTTCGGCGGCCTGCAACTGCAACTGCTGCCTGTATTGCTCCATCGTGGTGGCCGGATTGGGCTGATGAAAGTACTGCATGGGCGCCACCGCGTGTTGTTGCTGTACGATGCCTTTGAGTTGCATCTGCGACGGCTGGGCCGGTATGTTGACCTGTTGCGTGTACGGTTGTTGCATGACAGACTGTTGGTACGGCGCTTTTTGAAGCTGCAACTGCTGTTGCTGATGCTTTTGTTGCTGCAACTGTTGTTGTTGTTTTTGTTGCTGCTGCTGTATTTGCTGCAGCTGTTGTTGTTGCTGTTGTTGCTGCTGAAATTGCTGTTGTTGCTGCTGTTGTGGAGGTAACGTCTGATGCGTTACCACCCTGGCTTGCTGCGGCTGATATTGGACCTGTTGTTGATTTTGTGGTGCCAACTTGGCCTGTTGCTGCTGTGCCGCCAATCTGATTTGTTGATGATGTTGCTGAGGTTGAAGCAGCTGCACCGGAGGCGTCACCCTCACCGGCTGCTGTTGGTACTGTTGCGCTGAGGTTGGATGCGTAAACTGTTGTTGTACCGCTTGTTGGCCTTGTGGGTGATAGACATGAGCGGGTGGTGGCGGATATTGAGGATAGGGCTGCTGCTGGTTGGTCTGTTGCTGCTGGGGTTGTTGCAATTGAATCATAATGGGCCCACGGTCGGGAGTTATGGGAAGGGGTTGTTGGCCGGGCAACAGAGGTAGCGGGGAATTGTCGGCCAAGGCCGGCAGGGGAGGCACGTTGAGTAGGTAATGAGACGGATGCGCTTGCTGCTGCGGAACTGGTGCCTGTACCTGCAGTGGGGACATCGGACGCTGCTGCAGGTTGTATGGCACCACGGGGGGTAACGGCGCGGCGGCCTGTACGAACTGCTGCTGTTGCTGGTGAGGCGGGGTCACCTGGTACTCGACGAGCGACGAGTGCAATTTGTCTTTGAGCTGGTCCCCGACGAACGGTTGTTCGGTCTCCTTGTAACCGGGCTCATCGACGGGCCTAAACGAGGCCGGGTCCACGTTGGTCCGTTGCTGGTGGTACGCGTGCGCCGTGTCCACTCGGTTATTGCCCGCACTCGTAGCCGAAACCGGTGACGGCCGGTGATACTTGTCGTGTAACGGCGATCTGTGCTGCTGTGACTGCACACCTGTTTGAATGATCTGGGACGTGACCCTTTGCACGGGGTCCAGGCTTGACCCTTCGGCCACGTACTTGTCTTGTCCACCGTTGTCCTTGACGTACGCCCTATGAACAGCCGATAGTTTGAATAAAAAAAATTATAGATCAATATTATATGAAGTGCCTATAAAACACAAGGGGTGTAAATGACATTAAAAAAAAAAAAAAAAACGATTCTGAATGGAGTTCGGTTGATAATGTCACTTTGTCAACGATATTTATGATATATAATGGTAAAATAATTGCATATACATTATATATTTTCTTTAATAATATTTATTTATTTAATATTGTACCTTATTTCCGGTTTTCCCATTTATTGAGAAAACTCTTGGAAAAAACAAAAAATTACCTCCCTAGTCAGATTTTCTTTCAGAAAAATTACTACAATCTAGTAAATCGGAGCAAATTGCTGGTAGAAAAGTTGTTCACAGATAATAATAAAAAAAAAAAAAAAACATTATAAAACCAATACATTCCTCGTTCCGCTCAGAATCTAAAATCTAAATCAAGTGCATAGCTGAACTACAAATTCTCCATTTTACTTTGTAGTTAAAAAAATTATAAAATAATTATTCGTCATGTGCTATGATTTAGTAACAAATACTAGATCCCACTGAAATAGTCTTCAAATGAAAATGTTATAACAGATTAAAGGTAAATAGGTTCAAGCGTCCACAACAGCTGTTAATACACTTGTGTACCTTTACTGCGAATTTTTTTTTGGATTCCGAACGTAGCGAGGGGGAGCTGTTAGTTTTACGAAGATGTTTATTTCTTTTTTTTTCTTTATTCTAGCCTGTGGACACTTTTTTTTCTAGTAAACTTGCTCTAATTTTTACGTGTAACAACTTTTCTGAAAGCTCAAGTTGTCTAAATGGTACTTTAAACAAGTAATTTTTTGACGCCATTTTTTTAAACAAAAGCACTTAAGTGGAATAAAATGTAAGGAAACGTACAATTTTATGATTTCATTATTTTATAAAAACACGGACAATGTTTTCTACCAAGAAAAAATGATTAAAAAATTACAAGACACATTTTTTGTTGCCTTTTTGATTTACGTTCCTTACAGTACCATCGCCAAAACTTTTAAGCCACTTTTGAGTTTGTTAGGAATTTTAATTTTTGGGAGTGTTTTTGCAGTAATTCGGTTATAAACACACGTAGAGACTTGAAACTTGGTAATAATACTTATATTGGACTTATCTAGACGTGGTGTCTAGTTTAATTTATAAAATAATTTCCAAATTTATGGGACGATTTTGTTTTTTTAAAAACAAATTTTAACGAAAATTACAAAAAATTAAATGAGGGGGGGGGGCTGGGAATATGTATGTCGTTTGTTCGGATGGATGGATTTTTGTTACCCCTTTGCGCAAAAAATTTCTGAACAGATTTTGCTGAGACTTTGCATACGTTTAGTTCTAGGATTCTAGCATATTCAGGAATAAAATATAGGCTACTTTACTTTTCACATTTAATCCCTAAAGGGAAGTATTGTTATTTTTGGATTATTTTCATTGATTTATGGGATAATTTCGCAAAACGGATGAAAAATACCAGTTATTATTAATTAATTTAGTTGTCACGGGCAAAGAAGTACCCTTAAAAAAAAAAATTTTAATTACCGGGCAGCAACACCAAATATATATTATAATATTTTAATACATAATGAGTACATCAGCTTAGATAAATAATTTATTTGGTTAAATGTTTATTGTTTTTAAGGGACTTCAATTAATTTGTCGTAAACCGACGGTTTCACAATAATTACATTATACAATGAAATCGATTCGATAGTCAAGGATATGTACTCGCGCGTTTTAATTCCAAGGTAAATACGTACCTGGAAAATAACTAAAGAACAGTAAGAACATTGTAGATTCGTCTCATGTTTTGAAATTGGTGACTTGGAAATCGATACGAACACGGTTTTATCTGCCCTCGGGAGAACCTTGTCACATGTGCGCGTTAAATTTGTATTTCAATACTTCGAATGAAAACACAGAACGGGCTATTAGGTATCGTAATTTGCGTATGTCATTAAAATAGTACTATAAAAAAAAAAAAAAAAAAGACCTCTTGCGATTTAACACACGGTTATTGCAGGGCGTCATTCGGTACAAGGTGTATAACATGCGTGTATTGTGCCTGCGTGGCTACATAATAATACATTTCTGTCTGGGATTAAAAATCGGACAAGTAAAAATTACTATATAATACCGGACTGACAATGGCGCACATTCAATTATATTTCGAATGGAAATCGCAAAAATCTTTTAAACCAAACTATTGTATAATATAAATAAGACATCATATTGTTAAACTTACAATAAATAACACAGAGGTTTATACACTGTTAGAAATAATAAAACCCTATCAACCTGAAATTGAATTTTATTTGTTTTCCTCCCCCTTCCCCCCCCGAGTATGTTGATTTATTCGAGACTCACGATTACGCAATCATTCCTAAGGTAGGAAATCCGGTGTATGCATAATAGTTTAAGAGGAATAATGTTTGTCGTCGTTGTATTTTATGCGTGTAAAACGGCTGCCAAAACAAAATGCAGTCATCATAAATACAACGCAGACTAGCAGAACTGGAGGAACAAAACAGAATGTGAAACTTTTGATTTTATTTTTATTTTTATTAGTGTATTTTAAATTTTTAAATCCCTAGCTGTTTACGATTATCATGTTATAAAATTTCAAATATTTTAAAAGCCAATTGGCGTATCTATAGGTATACATTATTTAAGAAAACAAATTGAATACAAATTTTCGAAAAAGATTCTTAAACTAAAAAACAAACGATACAAATTATGAAAAAGCTGAAATGATGTAGGATTTGTATGAACTCTTTTTTTCGGGTTTCTCATAGATTTTAAAGTTAAGATAAAAGACACAAAATGTGTAAATCAATTTTGATCATTTTCTTTATTTTAGCAAGGAATGTATTGGTTTTACAATAATATTTATTTTTTAATTTTTTTTTTCTGTGAACAAATGTTCAACCAGTTATATTATGTGTACTCCAATTTTCAAGTTAGCACCTTTTCTGAAAGAAAAATTTCATTTTGGAAAGTAATTTTTTGACTTATCGAGAGGACTATTCATAATAATTAGAGAAAATCGGAAAACAAACTGAAAAATGTATGAATGTATTGTTTTCGATTTGGTTTTTTTGTTGTGATTCAGTTAAAATATTTGTAGATTTGAAATTGAAACAGAAAATTTATGCCTAAGTTTATCTTTTTAGGCATGGTTAAATTTTCAAAACATTTAAGTTATTTTTGAGCTATTTATAGACATTTTAATTTTGCAAAATTTGTACGTAATTTTTATTCGGTAGTTTTACTATGTAGATAAAAAATGATAAAATCAAACCGAAATGCTTCAAAATTTAACAGGAGGTTCATTAAAAGCCGCATTACCCAAACTCCGCTCAGGATCTCTTTTCATTAGCCATAATTAATTGTTGCATACAAATAAACATTAAGTTCCCCTCTATATCCTACTTTCCTGACTTTTCACCTACAAAAGTGACCCACCTTTCGTGCGGAGTATGTCCGTTTTTTTTCAATTGGAATCCTATAAAATCACTTTCCATAACTTTACATAATTTTAGGGCAGATTGAATTGTAAATGATTTTTACAGAATGTATAAATTATTAACCTTCTATTTTTTTTCGTCCTAGGTACACGTTATAGTATGACATAATTTCCAAATCTTCCATCTTGGTTAAATCCTAAGTACGCAAGGTACCAAACAATGTACCAATTTTTAACTGAAAATATGTTTAATGACTTTAATAATCTTCCCTCCCCTCTCACTTATTCCTCCAATTGGCTCCCATATAAAAATGTTGAGCGCGCAACTTATACAATGTAATTAAACGCAATATTTATATTTTTACTCACTTAACACCATCTTTGTCGGCGACATACGACACTACTCTGATTTTACCATCCGGTTGAACTTGCCCGTAACTCCCGACGACACTTCCGTTGGCATGGCGTTCTTCCATACGATACTGAACGTTGTTTGTGGGGGCATTTTCCACGTCATACCTAAACTCGTACGTGTTCGGTCCCTGAATACACGAACGAGAAATGAAAACTCGTTAATGGAAAACGGATGGAGGGCGGGAAGAACTTTGGGGTAAGCAAAAATCAAGAGATTCAAATTAGATTGGGAATATACGGCGAGGGTATGTGGTTTGAGAAAAAATTTACGCTCTCTTTCTCCCGATGATTCTAATGGATTCTATCCAGTGCTGGGAAAAAAAAACGCAAGATGAAAACACGAGATTCGAAGTAACCAAAGTGCAGTAAATCAAACAATTGCCAAATAATAGGTTTACATAGGTTATTCTTTATTTTATTTTTTCCACTCACTTTATGGTCTTTTTTCGACGTTGACGCCCATTCGTTTTCTAACTGTCTCTTTTCGTGGACTCTCGCGTCGTCCGCCGCCAATCGCGCGATCAGCCCGTCGCCGACTATTACGGCCAGCAACAATAACGTCGGCACATCTGCTGCACGTCTCACCTGAAAAATCAATCGATTCCCCGATAGTAATTATTGCCATAACGGACCGAATACCGTACGAGTTAAATATACGAGTATAATTAGTATTGTTGTTCGTACGGGTATTCGGCCGAACGAATTATCGGAGAACACCGAAATAATATAATATCTGTATTCTCACTTGAACACAGCGTACACGCGAAGCCATGTTCACTCGGGATACTGAAAGCTCGACTCTCGCAGATCTCCGCTATAGTGTGATGCTCGCTCGTGCGGCAGTTTACAATAATGCGAAAATAATTGTAATGCAGTTGCGGTTATTCGTAAAAGTAAAAAAAAAATAAAAAAGATCCACGGTAACCTAACCTACTGCGTATACCCACGACACGACTACTACCGCAACGTACTCGGGCCTTACACGGACGCGTAACGGTTTTACCGGTTTTCAAATCGGTTACAGCGCGGAATCGCCGCTGCGGATTTATAACACTGGTGCGGTGTAGCGTTGCTAAAATATTATACGCGCGGGTATACATTAAACCGCTTGCCTATAATATCTACCCGCACCTATACCGTTATTTAATTATATTATCGTGCACTAATGGCCCGAAAATGTACTGCCTACTGTCTTAAACCGCGGTCGTGTTCACCGTGCTAAACTCCGTAATCGGTGAAATGATCAGTTTTTAAGGATATTAACCGCGCGGGCAGCGAACACGGGCGCGCGACCTTGGCAATATATATTTATAATAATATGTATAAACGTACCGGTGCCGTCCGTGACCAATTATCAATAAGAGGCTTTTCGTGGTCGTTGAAGGAGAGAATTTCGCGTTTTACCTATACCGGCTATATAGGTACTGTAAATGTATAATATACATATTACTATATTATAATATAGGTATGGTATAGGAAAGAAATAATAAATACCTATTATAACATTGTATTTTTTGTTGTCGTAGTGTTACGGGTATAAAGTACGGAATTCGCGGGGATACACATAGATTAAAACGCGTACACGCGTTAATTTTTTGCGATATAACGGATTATAATTTATTTACTTTTATGAAAACCGGGGCCCAACAGACAATTACAGACGTGTACGGACGGTTATTAACACATTAGGTTTACGCGTACGGCAAAATGCATATTTCGACAGTAATTTAATAGAAATAACGGGCTTTCGTTTCAAACGTTTGCAAAAATTCTTTACGAGAATAGTAAGTTAATGGCTCAGTTTTCAGTAAAGAAAGGACGTAGTGGCCGGGACCGGAAGTAAGGTTGTTCTATAATAAACTTGGCTAAGTAACGCAAGACAGTCGACTACTCCGTCGATACGCTTCCGTAGCGACAATTGGTTAGTAACAATTCGTCTATCAGCCAGGGATTGTAAATCTAAAATAACCAATAGTGGTCGGTGGTCAATTTTCAACATATAAATAGCTAATCCTAAAAATTTGCTTTACGTCCTTTCAGTCTGATTTCTAGTACTAATAGCACTCTTTGTATTTGGGTCCCAAGTAACAACACTGAGCACTAGAATCAGTAGAATCGGTCTTATATAAGCGCATAGTATAGAGCTTTTAGTGGAAATAATAACTTGAATTTGTACAAATTATTTTTAGGGACCTGGGCGTTTTCAAAGCACTACAGCGCTATGCTTATACTATATTATTATATTAATATTTTGCACATTATAATATGTGCCAATTCGTAATAGACATTGAGTCGTAGGACTAATACGGTAATAGTAGGTATTAATTATAAGTTTGTTATTTTGTACTTGAACCGAATCTTAAATTTACGTCTAACGAGTAAAAATGTATATTCCACGGTTATAGTGTACTAATAATAGTATAGTACAGTGTAGTGTAAAAAGGGCGACAACTGAACATAAACTTCTTAAGGTTACGATTTGGTAGATTTAGAATCAGCATCCGGAACTGCTCTAATAAATTATTGAGGATTTTTTTTTTTTCAAGGCCTTTGAGACCATCTTGCCATAGAACAAATTCTTCTCCATTCTTCTCTGTTCTCCGCTACTTTCTTCCAATCAATGTCTCCATAATTCCCTTCTCTAGTATTTAGGGAATCTTTTCTGATTCCATCCTCCCAACGTAGCATTGATCTACCTAGCGGTTTTTGCTCCTTGGATTTTCTAGGAGTACCCTTTGTACCATTGAATTTTGCTTTCTACATGCGTGGCCTGCCCATTACAACTTACTCCGTTTGATCTCGTTTACAATATTTGGTCTATTGAATATCTCCATCAGTTCTTGGTTGTGTCTTTTCCTACATCCTTGAATATCCTGATCATACATAGGTCCATATATTTTGCGCAGTACCCTCGTCTCGAAAACATGCAATCTGTCCTCCTCCATCCTTCGCAACGTCCAGCATTGTGAGCCGTTCATGGCTATTAGTCCTATGATCGTCAAATATAATCGAATTTTAACCTTTTTTGAAAGGACTCTAGAGCTCAGTAATTTACCTAGTACATAGGAGAATTTGTTTCTCATTTTAATTCTTTGTTGGACTTCTATTTGGCATTCATTCTTCTATATTACAATAGTGCCCAGGTATTTGAATCGTTCCACTTTTTTGAATTCGTACTGACACACTGTTATGGTCTTGGTTGTTGGATCGTCACCTAGTTTCCAACTAACTTTCATGTATACGCTAAGATCAAATCGAAAATTCTCGAAAAATGTAAATTTTCCCGATAAAAGATCACATCGTACAGAATATTTAAAATAAATCCAAAGTCTATTACAATAGTAATTATAATACAGATATTTTTATGTGAACTCGCAATATTTGGATTGTTATTGGTCGAATGAATATCACGCACACGGTAGAAAGTTATTGAAATGCGAATTACAAATGAAATAATAATTCCTTTAGTAAAATGTTAATACTAATTATTGTGCAAATGTGTAATAAGAATTGCATACTTTTTCAACAAATACATTATATTTTATATTTTTTATGGAATGTAAAATATTCAATTACTTGCCGTATACCAATAGGCAATGACAGATCGAACACCCGGGAAACCTGGGCATGTCCGGACCCCAGCCGTGAGGGCCCCCATAGCGAAAATGTTAGGGTAGACACTAGATTTAAAAATACATATTAAAATAATTGTGTTACAACACATTATACTATTAGAAGTTATTACAAAACACAGAATGAATATTATATTATTATAGTAGTGAGCTAAAAATACCAAAACTGATAATTCTCCTTGTCGACCTACGATAGTTGTTATAAGTATGGTGATTAAGATTATGATTTATAAAGTGTTTCTTGTTATTATCATTATTATAATTATTACATGACAAAAAAAATTTTAAAAATGATATTCATCATCAATTTTTCGAAGGCCATAGGCGCACTAGCTCTAAAATTCTTGTAGGGGGAGGGTTGCTATAGCAACGAGAGCTTAGAGAGGGGGTTAGTAAAAATTTTTCAACTGAGCGTTTTATTATTTTTACATATACCATTTTTATTCATAACAAAATTATTTAGAACTACTAAATCTAATAAATATTTTATACAAAATTACTAACTATGAAAATATTTATTAATCTATATATACAAATAGAGCTAATACTGGAGTTGGGAGCAGCCACTGTTGTAGTTGAGAAGTTGGGAAGGTAGGATACATAAGGTTATTGCATTTATATCTGTAAGCAATGATAAACCATTGCTGACGAAGGACGATTCCGAGCGCAGTTCGGTTATACATAATTCGAAGTGCCGTAATTTTTTTTTTTTTGCGGTTTTCGTTTAAATTTGATTTAAAAATGCTTAATAAAAAAAAAAAAGTCGCCCTATGATTTTGGAAATTATTTTATAAATTAAGCTAGACACCACGTTTAGATAAGTTCAGTATAAATAATATTATGTGTGCTTATAACAGAATTACAGCAAAAAACTCCCAAAAATTAAAATTCCTTTAAAACTCAAAAGTGGCTTGATTAAAGGTTTTAGCGATGATACCATAAGAAAGTAAATCAAAAAGGCAACAAACAAGGAGTCTTATAATTGTTCGATTAAATCATTTTTTTTTTTGGTAAAAAACGTCGCCCGTGTTTTTATAAAATAATGAAATCGTAAAATTGTACGTTTCCCTACGTTTTTCTCCACTTAGTGCTTTTATTTAAAAATTGCGTGGAAAATTAAAATATGATGGCTTCAAAGAACTATATTAACAACTTATGCTTAAATAAAAGTTGCTACACGTAAAAATCGGAGCAAGTTTACTAGGAAAAAAAGTGTCCAACAAAAAACAACAAGAAACAAAAAGAACAAAAAAAAAATAATAATAATAAACATCTTAGTAAAACCAATAGCTCCCACGCTATGCTCTGAATCTAAAATGATTCCCTACTTCCTTTGGTCATCACATCACGTAAGACCGGCTTTACTGATTTTGCTGATATTTTTTATTGTCTTCATAGTTGTCTGGGCAAGGTTTTTATGAAAGAACATTTTTGGAAAATCCACTGGAAAAGTCGTATTTTAATATTCTTTTATTTTGTAACGGGTAATTACTGGTCCAATTTACCTACTGTTTTTTGTAGAATGGTTCGAGTTTTTAAAGAAGGTTTAAAGCTTTTTAAATCCTCAAACTAGAAGTAGCAGACCTAATCTACAGTCGTTTGGGCTGGATACAAAATAATAATGTCTAAGTATTTTTTATTTCTTGGCAACTAATTCATATAAGTTTGAAAAAAAAATTAAAGAAAATGCATTTTTAAAAATTTAAGTGCAAAAACGATTAACTGCAGTGATAATGATGGGAATTGAAACAAGGACAATTGATTGGCACGGCATCGTTGGGCAAAACAGCTTAAAATGTATTATATTTATTATAAACACTATTTAGCCCATCTAAAATTAATGTTATCTATAGATAACATATGTTATAGTAGCATATGTTCTAATAACGTAGTCCTGAAATCTTAATTTAAACAAATGCAAATATTTACATTTTATACTATCCTATAGAGATTTAAAATTACATAATATTTAACATAATTATTGTTAACACAAAAGATATCGTAATTTATATACAACGTGAGCAGGTGAGCCTTATGTATTCTGGAATAAAGATTAAAAAAATTGTTATAAGATAATGAAAACATGAATTAGACATAGCTGCTTTTCCCTTACATTTTAGAATAAAATATAAAAGTAACTACGTAAGTCAATAATATTGGTCTACTAATAATGAAATGATTTGTATTAAGCAGTACCTTTAGCGCCTTCATTAAATACGCCAATGAGTATAACTATATATTACCGTAAATGACGTAAGTTATGCATTGATTAGGAAACAACAAGGAAATGTCCATGTATTTCATCAAGCAATGACAAATTTAACAATAATGGATATTTAAAACGCCTAATACACTATACGCATATAATAAATATTGTGCATACGGTCCCTTAAGACGGCAGGCATAAGTTATTTATTTATTTATTAAACTAACGTCTAGTAGGTTCAATTGAATCAGTAATAAATATTTACAGTAAATATATTAAAAAGATAGATATAAATGGTATATAAAAAAAGCACAATTTATTATAGACAATATATTATAATACAGAAAATCAAAAAATTGATTAGTGATGCTTTAGGTTAAATAGATTGTGAAAGAAAAATCCTGCCAGAGTGCTACAAAACCGTCAAGCACATGACTTCTGAGTGCCCGCGCTGGGCTGATGAAAGGAGCGTGATCTAGGTGTTTCTTGGTGACTAGGACCCACATTCCTAGAACACCGAGGCTGATGAATGTGGCACTCTGATCCATGTGGGCTTCCTCGATATGATCAAAAGTATTATGGCGATAAAGATAGAAAATTAAGAAAGCGAGACAGTCTGTGGATCCGATAGCTAGACTTATCATTTAAAATAAGTGGAAAGTCACTGACAACTTTTTTCATTAACTCTTGAAATTCAAACACTAAAGGATAACTTTATTAGCAGTATTAGTTTTTAGTATTTTCGAAAACTGAATTTTTTTAAATTTTTTTATTATTATATTATCACACTGATGAAAAAAACCATTATAATTATTTAATTTAGATGTCGCAGAGGTAGTCATTAAAAGATCAATAATAATTTTCAAATTTTACAAAATTAGAGAAAATTCAGAAAACCGAGTAAAGTAATTTTCCAATCAAATTTGTCAATTTGTCGGCTATATAATTGAATCCTACAATATCATCTACATAACATTCATTGTTTTTTTTATGTATAACCTATATTGCCTATTAATGTTGGACATTAATTTTATTGGCTAGATTTTATTGACTATTTGCATTATTAATTAAATTGTATCACTGACGGTGAATTATTAGAACTATTTTATGCAATGTCACACTATGAGATGAGATGTGATTATAGTTACGACTTACAGGCATGTTTAAGGTTAGATTAGGCCAGATTATTGGTTAATCGAACATAGTTTACTTTCTTAAATACCGAAAATTGAAATATCTAAAATAATAATATCGTTTACGTATTTGAGACTATAATTATTCACATTTTATTCTTGAATTTCTCGACTTACGAGGAAAAATCGAGACTAAGACTGTAAGTGGAGTATGTTAGTGTACCCGCATTCTTTGAAAGTCGAAAAGGCTTAAAAGTTTTACACTTTCGTTGCTCGTAATAGCTTATTATTAAAAAAATATATAAACGACTCATTGAGTTATATCTCCGTCAAAAAAATCATTTGTGAATTTTTAATTTGGACGCTGGATAAGGAAGATAATAGTGATTATTATATAATTTTAGTTTTAGGTTTTTTAATTATTAAAAATCACCGATATTATAAGACCGGTTAATTTTGACTTCATATACTTCCAGTATTGTGCGGTATTTACCTCCGAATTGCGAACCGTCCGACTTTGTGCAATCAAATGGCTCGCCGCACTCGAACGTTCGAGTCCCGTAATATTTATGTAATTTTAATTATTACTTTTCCTAATTAAATTCATAATATAATCGCAAGGTTGTATAATAAATAATATTATCGTGGTGATCCGTTACCGCAACAATGAGTTATTTCTTGGCGCAGCAGCCGTCGAGGATTTCCGCTGCGACATTTAAAAAATTATGATTACACTGTTTTAATCGATTATTAAATATTAATTATTATTATTCGGGAAAAACGGTAATGATTTTTCTTTTACGAATCGAACCCGTCGGCCTGTGATGCCGGTTAGGTGATTTGTGTAAAAAAAAAAAAAATACTCGTCCTCCTTTTTCAGTATGCGCTCTACCCGCGGCTACTGTTATTACTATGATCTGCGGTCGCGGAGTGGGAGAAGCGCGATGGGAAAATTTCCCAGGACGATTATTCTAGAGTAATCATTGTTTTATTACGATTACGCCGTTTGCTCCCGCAAGAACGACGTCTCGTCCCGCGACAAATGGATTGGTAAACGGAACGGTTCGCAATTTCATTCTATAGAAATGATCGTCGTCCCACACGTGAGTGCAGGACATAAAGTCGTGCGATTGTTGTTGTAATATGTCGTTCATGATTTTTTTTTTTTCTCTTTAACTAAACAGAAACACATATGCACATAATATATGCAATATCTAACTGAAATATTGAACCGTCCGTTTTCTCTGATGTTTCCACATTATAGATTGCCGCCGTATGTTGGTTTACGTTAATGTCACGATCGTTCGTCGCCGCAAATGTCCCGGCCGGCCCGTACTCTTGGAGCGCTTACCAGGAACCCGTCTCCGACGAACCGTTCGAAGTCAAACAGCCGTGGAAACAGACTTCGTCGCCGCCGCAGTCGTCTTCGTTCGCGGAATACGATGGTGCGAACGACGACCACGAAAGCGAAGTTTACCCTGCACAGGATTACGCGGTAATGTAACGCGATTTTTTAGCCCTAACCCCCTCCCCCCTCACTCGCCCACCGATTTCATACTTTTTAATGGAAAAACTCAGGGGGGACATATAATATGGTTTTTGTTTTTTTTTTATATGTTAAAAATAATCATAGAAACGTGACATTATCCACTGTTTCACTTGTTTTCCAGACGTGGTATGATTTTCAAAACATTTTGACATTTCTTTTTAGTCATTTACATCTATACACAACTGTCGAGAACAGGTGATTCATATAAAAATGCTAAAATATTTGTTACGAAGTTCATTGTAAGTTTTACTTAGTGGTAAAAAAAAAAGTTGAGCAAATTTCGAAATTTATTTTTATTTGCATTTTAAGTTCAAATGTATAATAAAATTCGTAAAAATCACGTGCGATTGTAATTTATTTCGTTTCGCTAGTTAATAAAGTTGCCAGGACTCAGGAGTTAACCGAACCGGAGCTACCGTTTATGATCTCTGGTACAATAGTATCTTACCCAGTCCGCCTCTGCTACTGCATCGCAATCAGATTATAGCCTGAAATTTATGTACAGGTATCCCACGAAGATATACCCATTGCATTATCTCCTAAAATAATAAAGCTAATCAAATTTTGTTTTTATTCTACTCACAGGGATAAAAAGATAACGTTTTATTTTATAATTTTTTGAACAATATGAAAATATAGAGTTTATTTTATCGAAAGTTTTGACGTTTTTCAAGTTTGTATTCTCATTAAATCCGTGATTTTGAATATTATTTAACATAATAATTCGGAGAAAAACAGTATACAGTCAATTATCCATAATAATAATAGTAGTAGTACAAAATGCGATTACAGCCTGCTGCATAATTATAGGTAATCGGAATAACGATTGATATAACATAATCATTATTATTAGCGCTTATCTTAACTGTACACTTTTGGATTCTGGGCGAAGCGAAGAATGTATAGGTTTACAATGATGTTTATTTTGTATACATACTATGTAAAAAATTTCTACCAGATATATTGCTCCAATTTTCAAGTGTAGCACTTTTTCTAAAAGGAAATTTTCCTAGGATAGTACTTTAAGGAGATCATTTTTTTGATTGAATTTTTCATAATAATTGTGGGGAAAACCGAGAAAGACCGTAGAGAAAACGGGAAAATATATGAAATGTATTATTTTCAAATTTTGCTCAAAATCGTTTTTCGTTAGCAATGAATAGTCGTTACGTACGAAAATACATTAAATTATCCTCTATATCCTACTTTCCCAACTTTTTACCTACAACAGTGACTCACCCATGGTGTAAAGTATGTCCGTTTTTTTCTCAGAACTTTAAAAAATTATAAAAAAAATCCCGAATTTAATGTTAAGTAAAAAGTTGAAACATTAAATGTTTTTTTTTATAATTTAACCTATATTAAAATAACAAGAGTTGAGGAAAACATTAAACCTTACTATGAATTATGAACCTATTTCCTAATATCGTTTTAAATTAATATAATCGTCTATCGACTTGAAAGTTCAGTAATTTCGAATCGATTAAACAGTAAAAAAAAAAAGTGATGGCTACTTAAACGCGCTTGTTAATAGAAATGTGTATTATTTATTTCAATTATGTACAGGGCTGGACCTCGCAAATCCTATAAGTACGGTTCAGTGGTACAATATAATATTATTATGGCTACACAATAATCGGTGGCGTAATTTGAGAAGGAATCAACTTATCAGGGATCTTCCCTGATCCCCAATTCCCAAGGGTTAACAACAATAAGACAATTTTGATCGACCTCTCGCTTTTAGGTCTGGTAACAAAATTTCAGAATATCGAAAAATGTTTCACGTGTCTTTTGTTTGTATGGCCTCGCAGATAAGTAATCCGTGGTCAATATTTTGACCGACCGATTTCACAAATGTTAATTTGAAGATTCGTTAATTTTAAACTCCACGAAAATATGCCTCTTCTTTAATAATTACGAAAATCTGAAATACCTATTAAATGAAGATTTTGAACGAATTAAAAAATTGTTTTTGGTTTTATTTTTTTTGTAAATAACCCCTTTCCATTTCAACCAACAAATTTGTTAAATTTGCCCGAATCCAACCTATACTAGAGCATTGTATATCTGTACACTGGGTGGAGGGGGTTTTGGCGAGCCTGTTCTCCGCATTGCTTTTTTTATTTTTACATAATGTACCTACACAATTTTGTATTTAAACATAAACATACTCACAATAAAATTGTTTTCCACGGGTCCCCCCGCCTCCATACAAAAGTTATTTATACGCCATACGTCTTCACCAAGTACTAAAATGACGCCACTGACAACAATATTTAGTTAATGAAATGTATATTGTTATTTATTATGTTTATAACAAATTATCATGCAATTATATTAAAAATACTGCAGTCAAATAATATTGGGTTTATTATAGAATTTACGAATCGCTTCTTTTTCAGTGGACTTAAGCTATCACTATTTTGTGAACATAACAAAATATATTTACTTTTTAAATAAAATAACTAATTATTCGTCGTCATTATGTTTTCTGTAATTGCGTAGGACAATCAATTAATTTTTTTTTATCTGTCACTGTCAAAAAAAAAAAAAAAAAAAACACTACTATAAATAGTATAAATACACTTTACGTCATTTACCGTTATAACAATTATACGTAAATCGAACGTTTTATGTTTTAACGTAGAATAATGTACGTTTATTTTGTTTTCTTTTTTTGGGCGGTGGAGTAGAGTGATAAAAATATGACAACTATACTTAATGGTGTCCAGTTTGAAGACAAATTACGGTAAAAATCATAAAGACATCAAAGACATTTTCACTGGACGTATAAATATAGCGAGAAATCCGTCGTCTTCGTTGTCGTCGTTGTCGTCGTGACTTACCACTTTCCGACATCTCCATACTTTCTTTTCGTACTAAATACTGTTCAAACGTCGCGTACTAAAGTTCATTAATAATCATTCGGAAGAAATTTCGAACTTTTGCCAAAAACATAATATTATTCTTTACGGACTTAACACGCACGCGTACTGTACAAGGGATGGTTTCAAAGATTATCCGCTCCCCCGTCCTAAAATTTTACGTTACGTATTAATAAGTTTTTAATCGAAGATTCAAACTTCACTATAGGTGGTGATTGTTTCTTCCGGCGAGCGTACAAAATCATTAACATTAAAAGTATTCCTGCGCCCGAAAATGACGCCATAGTTCTCATAAATTTTCTCATAAATAAAATTAAAAAAAAAAAAAACTGTTACACGAATTTGTCCAAACGTGCTATGGTCAGGACCACTATACGCAACGCCCAATCTTTCTTCGCCCTTCTACTAAATTCCATACATGGAACATATTAAAATTGTATTTTAGTCATTTTTATCCAAGATTTTTGGCCGCATAGGATAGCATACTGATTCCTATGTTTTTGTTTTTTGTTTTTGTTCCTATTAACTCCGATCGTTGTTCGCATCTCCTCCACTGCAGCCGGTTAAACCGTATTACACGTTCGCGTACGGTGTGGACGACCCGAAAACGGGACACAGTCACGGGCACTCGGAGACCCGGGATGGTTCGAAGGTAACGGGCGAGTACACGGTAATGGAACCGGACGGCGTGCTCAGACGTGTCCAGTACACGGCCGACTCGAAAAACGGATTCAGGGCTTCGGTCCGGTACGTCCGTCCGGACGGTGAAACGTCCCGCGGCCAAGACCACGGTTACGTCGGTTACCACAGCGACAACAACGACGACGACGACGAAGACCGGTCACCGGGTCAACACCAGCAGCAGCAACAGCATCCGTCGTCGGACTACGAATCGCCGGCTGACGGTGACCACGATGAACCGTACCCGCTGCCGCCGCCGTCGCCGCCAAAGTCATTGTCGTCCTTTGATTTTGGTGCCTTCAACAGCATCAACAATGACGACGTCGGCGACTATAACGACGACGACGGCGGCGGCGGCGGCGGTGGCAGCGGCGGCGGCGGCGGCCCGTCAATGCCGTTCAAGTTCCCGTCGTTCAACAAAGTATCCGGTGGCGTAGCCGCCACTGACACGGGTAATTATATGCCGACAAAAAACAAATTCCTCTGAAACGCACGCGCGCGAATGGACCTCCCCGTGAAAATTTGACGAAATTAATAGAGTTATCGATTTGCAGTTATAATAATGTACGCTATAAAAATGATCGAAAACGGCACACTACCGCAACGCCGCATAATTTTTCAATATCGAATGCGAAAATATGAATTGAATTTAATCGTTTCGCTTAAACGGTTCGTAGTAATATTTACGGTGCCGAAATGAGTACACACTAGGTGACACCGGTGAAAATAAATCGAATGTAAAACACTACACCGGTTTTAACGAGTAGTGCGAAATAATAAGCTAAATCTAAAACGCAATTACTTAGTCCTACGCTAAAACGGAGGCAGTACGAACATTATCGTTTTTATACTGCCGGAATTAAAAGATCGAAAAAAAAAAAAATACAAAAAATATTACTACTCCCCAAACGAACCCTTTCTGGAATATGGAGTGGACTAAGTCGTTGTTCAATCGTTTTGTTTTTCAAAATTTGGTTAGGTTACCCTACGCTAGCAGTGGCGCTGAATTGTGGTGTTGGTAACAGTGGTGTTGAGTTTAAATTCAATCGGTGTTGGGTATATACTTATTTTTTAAGGGCTTGAGCAAATCCACAAATCAGTGTTTATTTCTTAATAAACGTTCATTATATTTAGGAACAGGATTAGATTAAACTAGACATTAACTTGAACGTTAACTTATATGTATTAGGCGCTATACTTTATGATGGATGTTATTTGTGATTTGATGTCAATATGGAATCCTAAACATTAGATAAATATTTGTATTCCTAATTTTGTTTTTGTTAAGGTATAATAAATTATTGACGTGAGAAAATGATTCTCAAAATCGTTCATATAACAAAACAATACTTATTCGACACCACACAATACCATCTCGGTCATGCTTACTTAAATTATTTAAAAAAATAATAATAATAATTAAAATCGTACGAATTATTAAAATTGTACATATATAAAATTCGGAGTTACGTAATTATTTAATATTAACGGTGTTTATAGACCGTTAAAAAAAAATACACTTGCCTATAGATTATTTCGTTATTTTTCATTGCGATCGGATTATTATTATGGTATTTTTTAATTATCACTGCCGCGAGTTTACGTAACGACTGACGATAATAATTTATTATTGTTCGCCGTTCATAATAAAACCAGTCGATCGCAAATCTATTTATTATTACTATTTTTTTTTTTTTTTTTTTTTTTTGCATAACCTTTTTTCTTTATTTTCGCTTCTCTTTTATATAATATAATAATATTTTATCCGTATACGCAACTTGTAAAATTATTATTGTACATTAAACGGGTATTTGGGTTAAAATAACTCGGTTATTAAATAGTCCATTATAATAAATTAAACTGTTACATTATAAGACGTGTACCGTTTAATGGCGTGACATATTCAACTGCACTGTATTGTACCGTTACACGGCTGACTATCATACGAAACCGATCACTGAACAGGTTCAAGAAAAGTTAGATGCGATAGAAATGTGGATTGAGAGATGAATGTAATGAGAACAGGCGGACAGCAATGAAAATCAACTCCGTAGTATTAAGCCGAGTGGAGGAAAAGAGGATTTCACGAAGTACGTCAAATGAATCTGTTTAATTAAATGAAATAAAGACAAATACGAGTGTGCCATGTACGTAGCTGTCTTTTTGAAAACTGGAGCGAGGCAGTTCAAAACAGACACGGGCGACGAAGTGTAGTAATGGCGGAAAATACACTTGGAGACTGATCGTGTCATTTGAAGAGTGACTACGAGATAATAGAAAGGAACGGAAAAATGTTCGGTTACCGGTTGATAGGCACGATTTGTTTCTGATAAACATATTTTAAGGGCGGGTGACGTCCCTTAGGTAATAATACTGATTTCGAAAAAATCATACGACGGTCGGAAATTCGGTCACGTCTATTTATAATTGCTAGAGATAGGGAAAAAGTAGCCAGTCCCAATAATACCGATTTTAGCTTACTAAGTTATACTATAACCGGTTAATTTTTACCATTAACATACAGGGTGATCAACATAACGTCAAGATCCTCGTTATCTGGAAAAGTACTAATTTTCTCGGAATCGGTTGTTTTGGGATTGTTAGAAACAAACTAGTCTAAAATGTGTTACATTTCCGTAACATTTTTCGTCACGGCAAACTTAAAACCGGTGTACATCATCAACGGGTTGACGAAAACCAAGCGCTTCCACGCCAAAATATATTTAAATCAATAATTAATCTGTTTATGGAATTTTCAATGTAGAATACTATATTTTTTTAAAAAATCAAAAGCGGACGTCAATGAAAAATGTAACATTTTAAAATAGCTTGTTTCTTACAATTTTTTTTTTTTTTTTTTTTAAACAATTCCGAAACGTTAATACTTAATGACTCTTACGTTATGTTGGTCAACTCGTAAACTTCCATCGATAAATCGTCATGTAACATTTTTTTTTTTCCCCCAAAGATTCAGAAGATTACGGTATCAACGACGAAGGATACAAAAATTGGCTCGATTCACCCCCGACGCCCTACGACGACGAATCACCATCGTCGTCACCGTCGCCGTTCGGGTTGCCACCTTCGTCCTCCTCGTTCGGTCTGTCACCGTCGTCCCAGTCGCGGTTCGGCGTACCGTCATCCCAGTCTTCGTTCAACGTGCCCTCCCCATTGGCGGAGGCGTCCGCGTCGGCTTCGCACAACAACGACGGGCCGCCAACGGCGCGTCCCTGTGTGGTGCGGCCGTTTACCGGCTATCCGACCGGGTCTACGTGGAAACCGCCATCGTACGAAATGGCAAGATCCCGTGAGGGCCATTTCAAAGGGTACGGGATATCGTCGGCCAGCCCTCCGTTAAACGATCCCGAGAGCCACGCGAAAGGGCCGGACGACGAGGACGACGACGCCGCCGTCAACGACGAACACAACGCGGCGCCTTTCGGGTCGTTGTCGACCAGGGACGGTGACGGTCCCGGATTCGGCGTCGTTCAACAGCACTCCGCCGAAGACAGCGACCCGGACACCGCCAAAATGGCGGGCGTCCAACTTTTGCCGTCCGCCGGCGTCCAAACGCCTCGGCCGCCGTCGTCGTCTTCGCCAACGCCGTCGCTACGGTCGCGTCCCATAGTAGCCGCGGGTCCGTCGTCTCCGGCGCCGTTCCGCCGGCCGTCGCCCACGGACGTGCGCCTGTTGCCCGCATCGACGATGACGCGCATCGAGCCGACCATCATCGACATTGGCGGTTGACCGGGCGCCCCGGATAAACCGTACGTCTCTGCCCACCCGGGAAACGTCACCACCCGACGCATTTCCATACATAAATATAGGTACTTTCCGCGGAAGCGTATTTCCGCAGGCTGGAGCACGGTGGCCCGAAATCGACGAGATTCCGTAAACTTGTATAATACTGCGTTCGTTAAACGCGATTGTGGGCATTGCACGTATTTTTAGAATTATTAGATTACGGAATGTTATGTGTTTAACAGACGAGACATGCACGCGGACACTATTGGAGTAGTGGCGCACACGGAGAAGAGGTTAAGGGGTCACCCCCGCCCCTTTCTGAAATTTCTTCCTTCACTGCATTTTTTTAAATCAAATTTTACATTCAACAACATACAATCTTATACCACAGAATAAAATTTAATTTGATTTCATCAAAAATAATTTATTCAGTAACAATAGTGATAGTGCTGTACTAATATGATGTGTACCCCCATCTCTTGGAAATCATTATAAACAAAAACCCTCACAGAAAAAATTCCCGCGTGCGCTACTGTAATTGATACTATTACAGCAACGAACGATGTACAATTTCAATACGATTTCAATATACGTTTTCCGTGTATGAATGAAAAAGTATGCGCTGATTTTTTTACCTATAAAATTAACCGAACGTGCGTGATAATATGCCAAGTAGAAATTTTTTATTTTAGATTCTGAGTGGAGCGAAGAATGTATTGGTTTTATAATGATATTTATATTTTCCTTTTTTTTTTTTTATGTGAACACTTTTTCTACCAGAAAGCATACTTTGATTATCAAGTAAAGCACATTTTCTAAAAGGAAATGTCCTCTGGGTGGTACTTTAAAGAAATCATTTTTTGAAATTCTCGTTTATATTAGAGATAATGAGGAAAATCTCGGTCTTTAGGTTAAAAAAGATTGAAAGATTAAAAATAAGGTTGTCATTGGCCACCGTTTTTATTTATTTTTTGTTAATATTAAGTTTTTATTATTTTAATATTTTTTAAACAATCATTGTTGTCATGGAAACGCACATTTTTGTAATCGTTTTACTATAATATGATATATACTATATATTGTTTACAAAGCAACACTCCGCTCAGAATCGTTTTCTTCGTTGGCAATGGTTTATCGTTGATTACAGATATACATTAAATGCCCGTCTGTATCCTACCTTCATAACTTCCCACCTACAAAAGTTGCTGCACCCACGTGCGAAGTATATCCGCCCTTTTTTTTTTTTTTTGTTTTGACTGTGCCCACAACCATATAGGGAACGTTGCATTGTACTATAGTTCACGGATATCTCTCACTGGTTTCGTGCTAGCGGAAAAACGACTCACGGAAATTCAGCAATAATTCTGTTGACCATCCGATTTATAGTCTATTTTTTACCAACAACGCGTCGTTCGTAAAGTTGACGCCGTTGAAATGAACGCTGCATTGAGTATACCAGTGTAATTATAATTACGGTTCTAAAAGTATGCAATTTACGGATTTACATAATATTGTATTATTTATTATTTTTTGTAATATCGTTATTGTTATTGTTATTTTTAGCGTTTTTTTTATTATCGACAAGATATTTCAATGATATTGCACTACGTAACTTTGTAATAACGGTTAAAATACTACGATGTAAATATTAGCTCGGCGCATGAAATATTTAGACAAACTTGGGTAAAACGATTGTTCTAGGTACCTAAGTAATATTATTTAGTACCTGTACGATAAATTGTAATTTTAGTATACGATGGCAGTTATTCAAGCAAATATTCTACACTTTAATATTTCACCGTACGAAATGTTTGATTTGTTTCTTTTAAAAATAATAATATTAAATTATTGATTGTATGATAATTGTGCGTGTTATTAAACCATATAAATGAAATATATTGGTGCGAATACATATGGTCATGTTGATGGGCATGCCACTGTTGTCGGTGGGATACGGCAGACGAGTAATTTAATTTATGTCAAGCGATAAACCATCGCTGACGAATAACGATACTGAACAAAGTTCGGTTTTGAAATGTCGCGTTTTCACGACTTTCATAAAAATTTGAACACAAAACGATTGTAAAAAAAAAAAAAAAACTATTTTTTTAGGAAAATATCAAATGCTTATGTATATAAATAGGTAAATAGTTAAAAATTCGACGAAACCCCGCTGCAGAAATCGCGGTAGGTAGTGAAATTCGTTTCGCATCAAAACCTGCACCTATACCGAAATCGCGTCTATTGAATAAAAATTATATACACGTACAAGAAAACGCGTGGTATAGTTCCGTGTAAATCGAGAAAAAACTACGGTTGTCGGGAAATATTATTTTTTAATAATATATTATTTAAACAGTTTACGGATTTTTTTTTTAAATTTTTTAATTTTTTTGTCAACCGAATCGGCGAGCAATTAAAAACCGTGGGAAATTATTACAATATCTAAAACACTGCTGCAGGACCGCGGTTCACTGTGTCAAACGCGGAAACGTGAAAACGGGGGAAAAAAAGATTTCCCATCGGGCGCTAAACTTGCCGTGCCTTTGTTTCCTTGTCGCGTTTGACTATTCTTCATGTATTTTTTTAAATATTTTTTTTTTTTTGTTTTTTATAACACGCTACCGTGCGTTTCACTAGCGCCCATATCGTTCATTTACGCACTAGCAATTGGACAATAAATCTTTTCCTCACATTCAAGGCCGAAGCCAGAAAAAGATTTTTTTTTTCAGAAGGGGCTCCAAGTATAAATATGTTTTTAGGCTAGCAAATTTTAAAACGTTAATAAGCTCAATAAAATATGAAATTATAAAATTATAATTTAAATTATGAACATGACATTTTTTTTTTAAATTTCGATACTACATTATCTTATATTTTTACTTAATTTACTATTTATTATGATTTAGTATACAAGTTAAAGATATTTAAAAAAATTAAAAATATAAAACGTACTATAACTATTAATGTACTCATTTAATTTTCCTTAAAGTATTTGAAAATCTTTTGATAATTTTTTCAGTGTCAATTTCAATATCTCTACGTACACTCATGCGGGCTAGTCCAACTAATCTTTCTTGCATGAACTTTAAATGCAACAAAGTAACCGTGTACCAAAAAAACAAACGTCGTGTTTACGATCGAAGGCGCTCCGTGATTTCTGACCAAAGCATTAACAAAATTCAATGTACTGTTCTACTGCAGGCCATTGATTACCAAAATAATTAAGATTAAGTACCGTAGGTATTAAATGAGCTGTACATTGGATTTTATGAAATTACATTAGTATTAGGTATCCCTTATCTAACATAATATAAATATAAAACATACCTTTTTATTTACTAGTGTCTTGTAATCGCAGTAACACATGTACAATGTGTTCAAGTTTCAAACGTAATATTCATTTAAAATCATTCAATTTTATTTTTAAGAAAACTTTTCTTGTGGAGTGGGTCTGAACCCTAACTCCCCCCCCCAGTTTACAGCCTTCCTCACATTACTTACTACCTACCCTACTTACCATCGTCGCCACCATCGTTTTCGTCACGAGCGACAGAAAGCAACCTGAGATCCACCAACACCGTAACGTAACTCAAGTGATTGTTGAGATAAAAAAAATGTATCAATTAAACTATAAATCACACTTGGAAAAAGGGGTTTGTCTTTAACATGCGGAATTTCATCCAGATCGGAATAAAATTGTAAATTCGTAAACAAATTTAATAAGCCTATATAACTTTATTTTGTAATTATTATAATAGGTTCATTGACAATTTTTCAATGCTAAATAGTTTATGTTATTATATTTTTGTATTTAACACGGCCAATGGAAGAGGGGCTGATGTCACTATAGGACGAATTGGATACACTATTACTGGTATATACACTTGTATATTAACAAAAATAACAAATTTCAACTATTATACTCGTATTTTATATTGAAAATCTGACTGGCTATGCTTTGTTGTTGCTACGCAACTAAATTAAATAGAAAATAAAATATTTAGGTCCCTAACTTGTTATCTATTGATCAAGTCAAAAAAAGATAGTAACAGCTAAAAATCTGTCCCTGACAATGCAGATAGTTTTGCAAGAAAACGCTTACAAATTGTTCCAGTAGTTTTTCAGTCTATTAATCTCAGATAAACTTTAATAAGACTATTATCCATATATATTATTATATTATAAACATCGTTATAATAGATAATAACAATAAGCAAACTGTATAAGTATGCACTCGCCAAGTAAATCGGAACTTGTTTTTTTTTTTTTTGGAAACACCCTTTTACCATCTTTGGAGATGAGTTTCAAAAACACGTTAAAGGTTGAATTTTTTAAAACCCTTTCTTATTGCTCACCTACGTTGGCATATATATATATATATATATATATAGACGTAGTTGTATAAATTGAGTAACGAGAGAAGATAAGGGATGTAGGGATGAGGGATAAGGGATGATTACTTAAGAGGTAGCATAGACGTGTCTTCGGGAGTAGAAAAAATGAGAAATAAAAAACCGGGATACTTTGGACATGCCAAGATGAGACAGGAATCTGAAGCCAATAAGAATTGTGATGAAAATAACGGAGGAGAAAAGAGTTGGAGAGAAGGTCCGAAAAAGAGGTGGTTGGATGCGATTGAAAATGATATGAGCACGGCGTATGCATGCGAGGCCGATTTGAGAGATCAGGTCAAAAGAAAGTTTGGGACGAGTGTGGCTGACCCCAAATCGTTGGGATGAAAACGAAGGAGAAGATACGTTATATAGGTACCTCTTATATTATAATATTATTATTATTATTACATGATGATAACCGATGATATCCGAGACGAGACGTGTGCGATACAAAACAAATTTTTTTTTCACGAACATAATAACATCCGCTATATATATGTATATATATTATCAAACGTGGTTTAATGCGCTTTTGTGTGTATAATAAAATTGGACGTGCGTCATCGCCGTCGAATCCTGGTCATCGGAGTCGTTGATCGTCGTCGTCTTATGCACGTGACGGAGTTCCACGGCCGTGCGTTTATATCATGGGCGGGGGATATGACTGAATCGTTTCGCCCACTGATAAAACAGTCAGCTCGGCGATCTGAAAGAGCGCGAAAAATCTTTTCTTATTATAATTATGCGCACATTTATTTGCTTATTTATATTCAAATCCTGATTAAAGAGTGGTGAGGGCAGTAGTGGCGTGAACTATTTTTTTGAATGGAACAGCAAAATGTTTATCTTTACTCACCCACTCCCACCCGCCAAGTTTTATTAAAATAACGCAATTTAAACTTCACCCAAACCTCTAAGCAGTAGGCACAATTCAAATTTTATATTATGAGAGGAATTTAGTGAACCCCAGCTGTCATAACAATTATTTATAGATTCAAAAACCCATTTAAAATCAGCATCTATAATTCCATTGACTTTATTTATAATTTGGTTTACTGTCAACAATCGATAACTCTTCTATGCTTAAAATATAATTACACGACTAAGTACACTTTGTACATTATATAATAAACTATACGTCAAGACTTGAAGTATAAACCATATAACACAACTTCATTACTCTTTTTCCTAACCACCCATGGGTCATGACTCACTCACCCCAATTCATAGATGGGACACTTGACCCAAAAATTCGACATCACGCCGCGGGTGAGGGAGCATGACCACGAATTTAAAGGATCTGCCATTTCATCGGTTATGTGCATAAAATATCATAAAAAAATTGCATAAGAAAATATATTTTTTTTACAACACGCTAGAATGTCAAACTGTACACATTGTGCTCAAAAATACTCTGTTTCAGACCTGTATGACGAGTGTGAGATATAGTGAGGTGAGGTAAATATTTAAAAAAAAAATTGCTATTTTACAATTTTTTAAACGATTACGAAACTTCCATTAAATACAACACTTGGATCCAATGCCCCCCCCCAATACGTCTATAGATGTGAGGCGTGAGTATATACGCGTGAGTACCACGCTACTGACGAAATTTACAGTATTGTCTGTTATCGAAGAAATGAATTACCTATTATATATGTATTGTTTTATATTCTGAGTGGAACGGAGAATATATTGATTTTGTGAAGATGTTTATTTTTTTGGTTTTTATGAAAATACTTTTTCTACTAGAAAGCTTACTTCAATGTATACGATGTAGACCTTTTTCTGAAAGGAAATTTTCCTGAGGTGGTACTTTAGAAAAGTCATTTTTCGATTTTTTAGGAGTTTTCTAATCAAATATGAAAAACCGAAAAAAAAAAATAGAAAAACGAGAAAATGTACTAAAAATATTAGTAAAATATTATGATTTTTTATTCTATGGACAACTTTTCTAACAGCCATTTTGATCCAATTTACGATGATAGCACTTTTTCCAAAAGTGAATCTGACTGGGGAGGTATACTTTAAGGAAATCATTATTCGATTTTCCCAAGAGTTTTCCCAGTAAATGTAAAAAACCGGGAAAAAAACACGGGAAAACCGATAAAAACGTAGGAAAAACGAGAAAATCAGTACAATATTAAACAAATATTATTAATGAAAATATATAATGCCTATTTAATTATTTTACCATAATATGAAAAAACATCACTATTAACTGAACTCCGCTCAGAATCATTTTTAGAAAGCAATGGTTTAGGTATCGTTGCTTACAGATACAAATTAATTTCCCCTAAATATCCTACCTTACCAACTTCTCACCAACAGTGGGTCCACCCGCCCCCATTATCCTAGGACAGCTTTTTATTTTTACTCACCACAATATCAGGAGGTGTCGTGAGCGCAACGATTACCATTGAGGCCACATTTTCGGGCTTCATTGACAAAACGGGTTTCGTATTTTTTTCATCGCTCTCCGTTGCAGAAATTACTCTACCCGGGCTGAGGCTCTATGAACAAAAGGCCCAAATTTAATAATAATTATTATCTTTTTCTTACGTAAATTTTATATCATATAAGATGAATGAATTTTTTTCATTGGCGAACATTATACTTACTGTAACTTTGATTTTCAACCGTGCGTGAGCGATTTCGTGTCGAAATCCTTCGGTCAAAAACGTCAATGCTGTTTTTGTTGCATTGTATACTTTTTGCCCTGGGTAGGGTAACAAACTGTGTCCAGCGGTACTAGAAAAAATAAATACATACAATAATACATTTTCAAATCTGAATTTTTATGGTAATTAATGGAAATTTACAATACAATTTAAGTATAATAAATGATTAACAGATTAACCATTGCTAATAAAAAAACGATTCTGAGCGGAGTTCAGCTGATAGTTTTGCTTTGTTAACAATAAATATATCATATAATGGTGAAATAATTACATATGCATCAAACATCTTCTTTAATAATGTTCGTTTAATATATTGTACCTATTATTCCACTATCCCAGTTTTCCTATGTTTTTCCCATGTATCAGGAAAAATCCTTAAAAAATCAAAAAATGACCTTCTTAGAATTCGGATTTCTGTTTTAAACACTCTTTTGGTCAGGCAAATACTCCAATTTTTTGACGCAGTGTCTCGAAAAATTTATAATTTCTGTCCGGTAATACTTTATTTGAAATATTTATCAACATTTTCAGCAGTTCACATTCTATTTTAGATTCTGAATAGCGAAGAACGTATTAATTTTACAAAAATGTTTATTTATTTATTATTTTTTTTATGTGAACACTTTTTACCAGAAAGCTTACTCCGATGTATACGATATACTCTTTTTTGAAAAAAAAAAATGTTCTTGGTATGGTACTTTAGGGAGGTCATTTTTCGATTTTCTCAGGAGTTTTCTCATCAAATGTGAAAAACCGGGAAAATCGGTACTATATTGAATAAATATTAAAGAAAATATATAATGTATTTGTATTTATTTTACCATAATATAACATATATATTATTGACAAATAATCAATATCAACTGAACTCCCCTCAGAATCGTTTTTTCGTTAGTAATGGTTTATCGCTTCTCACAGATATATATTAAATTCTCTTCTATATCCTACCTTACTAACTTCCCACCTTGTTGTTGTTTACTTTTCATTGTTTTCTGGGTTACCTTGGCAATAATGAGAAAAACTCGACTAATAATATACTACATTACTAAGAATCGTTTTTTCATGTGCAATGATTTATAGTTGCACAAAATCTATAAACTAAATAACCCTGTATATTCTACAAGCTATAGTTACTTATTCTCACAATTACCCACCTCCAACAATGACCTACCCGTGAGCAGTATCAACTCTTGTGTAAATGTATAATAAAAATTTGAATATTTTAATTCAAAAAAAATGGTCCAAGTATCAGTAGCAGGTTAGTACTTTTATCAATCTGTATAATATTATTAATATTACCTGTTTATATTGATAATGTGCCCGTCATCGATGCCGTGTTTCTGCATCGATTTAAACGCTTCTCGACAACAGATCGTTGCTGCGAGAACGTTGAGATCGAACATATTTCGCCAATCTTCTGTCTGGCCATCTGTATAGAAGACGTATAAATAAATTATTAAATTATAAGTCAGATAATTATCATGTACAGAATACATCATCTATTCTGTATTGCACATCTAGAGCGGGAAACGTTGAATATAACTATGTGTGCATACCCTAGAGCTCTGAAAAAAGTGGACCCGATCAGACTCTAAAAAATATTCAAAGTTGGTCTGACCCAATCCAAGCCGATACGAAAATCCGAAAATTCAGCCAAACCCAACCAGAAAAATGTTTAAGATAATCCGATCCAATCCAATCCTACTTTAGGTGGAGCTAAAACTCGGGTCGAATCAGGTCGGCGCAGTCCATGCAGGGTTCTAAATGTTAATTTAATTTTTTCTATTTTTCGACCACTTTCACCAGACCCAAGCTATAGTCATCTCAATCACGTCTTTTTACAGTCATTTAACCATGTGAATTTAATTGAAGTGTAAATAGTGTTGTTTATAGCAAAGGCTTTTTAAATTTTTTTTGTGAAATCGATTATTTAATTTACTTTGTATTACCGTACTATGTACCATTTATCTGGTACGGAACAATGGTTTCTTAACTTAAATCTGCGTCCTTCCACTCCCCCCTCCAATTCGAGTACTGCCTGAATGGTATATACATGGTATCTCACGTAGATATGTACTGCAATATCTCGGTCTCAAGCAGTAAAGAGCTTCTTATTTCTTAAATTTTCAATAAATAATCTAAAAAAATTAATAATTTCCGAAATATCGCAATGTATATATCTTCGTGGATAATCTGTATATACTGTAATCTACATAAATGATACATAGATACCAATACTAACCCAAAAGTTTGCTTGTGGTCAATATGCCCGCGTTGTTGACGAGTACCGAAACTCCTTCACCGACAGTCGTTTCGATCCACTCAAACGCTTTTAATATATCCGACTCGCGAGTCAAATCGCATTGAACCGGATAAATTTTGGCCGCGGAAGACTGCAACTCGTCCGCGAGTTCCTGTATACATAGGTACCACATGCAAGTACAAAATAATTTTTTGTATTATTATTTAATTATATTGTATTTTTATTTTCGGTATTATTCGGTACATATATAGGTGCCTATTTCAGTATTTAGGTAAATAGGTACACAGTAGATCGAAATTTATTGAATTGTCGATAACAATCGGATAATTATGTCTAAATCGTAAAAAAACAAATAAACTATTCAAAAACCGCTAACGCAGACTTAAAAAATTGCAAAAAAAAAATATTTTTAACGACAGTTAGAACCTACAAAATATTGAATAATTGAAATCGTGATATCTTAAAATCAAAAATATTGTTTACTAAATTTTAAATCATCGTTAACCTGCAACAAGACGATCCTCCGGGCGAAAGCGACGATTTTCAAAGGGTACTTGGATAGTTCGGCCACGATCGACCTTCCGATTCCCGAACTCGCTCCGGTCACCAAAACAACCCTGTCTGTCCATCGTTCCATTTTTCAAATTGTGTTTTACCTGAATAATACAATTTTAAGAACGGCGGTCTGTCCGAATTTATCACGCAACAAATCGATCGAGTACCTACATACGCGACACGAACGTCGTCGATCAATACATTGTTCTAAAACCTAAATTATTGAAGTCTATAAAATTTTTTATGTGATCTAACGTCATGCCTACTCTCACGACGACCTTTTGATGACATTTAGTTTCATAATAAAATTATATAATTACCCTTTTTTTTTTTTTTTATCGTTCTCGGTGTGATAACCAACACGTTTACATAAATGCAACTATCTAAAATTATTAAAGCCAGCATGGCGTTTTATATTATACGTTGTTTATCATTCAGTAAAGGGGATGGAGGGGAACAACTTTTTTTCACATATATTGTACCTATATTTAAAAGTGTATTTAGTAAACTAGATCCCCATACTATACTGTAGGTAATTATAATATAATTATTATTAAAACTATTCTGGTAAGTACTACAATTATAATATTTAATATTTTAATAATTTTTAGTAATAAGTCAACAAAGCTATACTTTAAATTTAACTAAAAAGGTTTAACTTTTAATTAATTTCCACAATTTTTAGAAATGTTATTTTTTTAATTTTTATTTGTTGTTTTTTCTGTTATTCATATTTTTTAAACAAAATAAAAATATACATACAATAGTAAATGATAGGCATCTATCATTAAAATTTGATAGCCAATCTGTACATAGATGTTTGTGAAGGTAGTAGTAGAGAGTTCTTTGAGTTAGTAGAAATAAACAATACTATGATTTTAAAATGCACTTTTAATGTATTCAAATGTCACAATGATCATCAGCAATATTAGAGGTAAGTACTTACCTAAATAATGTGGTGATTATTTTCAACATAAATATATTACTTTTTAATTCTTTTAAAATCTTAATAAATAAAATAAAAGTTATAAAAATTATAGTTAAAAATATAAATCCAACTCCGATTACACTAAAAAGGTCAGTAATATACAGTAAAATATAATGAAAAATAATTTTAAATATAAGTAAAAAATATATTCGTCATAAAATAAATTGTACATGGTAGTAAACTTTAAAAAAGTTATTACTAGAAATAATGGTTCATAATAATAATAAATGATTAAATAATATTTTATAATTGTAAAATAATATAATAATTAATGTATTGAAGTGTGAGACATTACCAGAATGGACACCTGAAAGAAATAATAAAACATATTTTTTATTAAATTATAAAATGTTAGGGCAATTTCAGAAACAGAAAAATAATAGTTTTATATTTATAATAAAACGCAAAAATAGATACAAAAAAATAGGTATTATTATTTAAAATATAATTAAACAATTAAAATAAATCAATTAATTATTTAGTATTCTAATTATTTTGATTTATCATTAACCCATAAATAGTATAGTTTTTAAATGTATAATAAAATATATACATGAATATTAAGTAATGGATAAAACAAGTACCCATAAATAAATTGTTATACTTATTTTATATTGAAAATAAGAAACCTGAATGTTTGGAACTTAAAGAATAACAGTTTTAAATGTTATATAATATATTAAATATTTCGGAGTCCATAAAATATCATAAATCAATCAGGCATATTGTTATTTAAAATTGACCCATTTAGGTTTTTCTGTACATTAAAAAAATTAATATAAGACAAATTAAGGACAATATAAAAGTATTATATTTGAACTTTTTTAAACAAAATTTTCCATTTGGTCACCAAAGAAAAAATAGCCTACTGAAATATATTTAAATGAAATTTTGTAATTTGTACATACCATCCAATATAACATTGACAAAGATTTTCATTGGCAGTGGCCTGTAGAATGAGTAAATGCACTTGTTTGTGGACGTCCAATTCTGGTTCATGTATGAAATCTCTACCAGTCAATTTTTCACGTACTCTAGTGATTATCGCTAGAGCTTTTTTGTTCAATGCTTCAGTCGGCTCACTCTCATCTTAAATTAAAAGACATCAGTTAAATAATGTTTCCAAAAGCTTTATTTTTAAAATAACTCACTGGGATCATCTCCTAGAGTAATGTTTATAGGTGCAGCATTTTTACTCAGAGAAGTGGCAAAACTAGTAGCTAAACTCGTTTCATCCGAAGCTGTAGTCACAGCAAAGGTCACACTTATTGGGTTCTCAATTACTGTAGGACCAGCAATAATGGCAGCCGTTTTTCTAGAGCCAACACCGGTTTCCATTAAACGCCAATTTAGCAAAGGATCATAGACAAATGCTTCTAGAACTGCCATCAAACTATCCTTATTATTACGAAGCACGGTCATGACGCTCACACAGGTACTGCGGTAAGTTCCCTCAATACCAGTGACCTATAAAATATGATAAATATATTTTTCAAAACGGCTTTCAAAAAAATAACTCACCTCCATAGCGTTTGTTAACATTCTAGTGAGTCTGAAGGGAATTTTTTCTGGAAACTTTTCACGTGTCATTGCAACTTCAAAACAATCACCAAAATCAATATGTAATATTTTTCCACTTAAACGATCCAACATTAAATTCGAAGGGTGCCTTTCATTATAAAAAACATTTTATTAAATTTGTACAACTAAAGACTAGTTCTTAATTTTTTAAACATTATATAAGTAATTAATATAACTAAATCTTTACCTGTCTCCTAAACCGAGTATATAACCCACCATGGACATCACAGCTAAGGATCTTGTGTAATTAGTTCTACGATCAAACCAAACTTCAGATGATGGAGACTTTAGCCACAACAACCTAGCTAGATCATCGCCTTGGGTATTGGCCAAGGCATGTTCAAATACTTCGACCTTTTGCCAAATTAATAAATGATCATAGTCCGGTGACATCTAAATTAAAGAAGAATAAATATATTCATAAGATAAATACAGTATAATTATGAAATAGATTTTAATAGTGAAATATGTGACTGTTTTATACCCTCAACATGATTCTATGTTCTATGTTTAACAAAATTTTTTTCTTATCTCTGTAATCACGAATAAGTGTATGCAATGTGTCACAATGAGGTACCCAACCGATAAGACCCGAATTTGTCGATAAAGGTATAACGGCATAGCGCTACAAACAATAGAAACAAAATTCATCAATTAATATTCAAATATGTTAACATAGACCTGCATTATAAAAGTATAAACAAGTACCTGAATAGTTAAATTTCTTCTAAACGTGTCAGGATCGTTTAATAAGAGTGTATTGACCAGGCCAAAAAGTTGCATAACTCGTTCGTCTTGTCGGAGATCTTCATGGCCTTTTAACAGGAACATATAATCGTTTCCATCACTACCTTTGATGCACAACTTGCGGGGACGTTGCTTAGATGTGATTACTTGTAAAGAACTTTGAATGTACGCAATTTTAACAACAGGTTGGCCAGGGATATAGGAACCTGGAACTGCGAGTTCCATATTACGGCTCTGTTGTAATTTTGGACTGACATATTGAAGTTCTAGCGTTGTGAGTTGAGGTAATTGTCTAGATATCCGACGAAAAACTTGATAATATAAATCCCACGCTTTATTCAAGTCACGGATATTCTCAGAAACAAGATAACGGTTACAACATTCTAAAGCCTCAACTAAATCTCGGCCATAAGTCTAAATAGAACAAAAGAATCAATTATTCAAAGTTAATAATATTCATAAAACATTTTTTTTTTTATTTATAAATTCTGTTAGTCATACTTGATTAAATGAAGTTTCTTTTAAAGTCTGAGGCCCTTTTTCCATCATAGCGTGCAATGGCTCTAAAACTTCATACATGCCTTTTACGTTGTTATCATTAAANAGAGTATGGCGACTCTGAGTAATTCATCACTGACCATCACTGCTTGTTGTACTAAATTTGGACTGTGTTCACACATTGTTTTCAAGATTTTATTTGCTGCATTCCTACGGGTTACACTGGCAGATTTATTTGCCACAGTCACCGGATAAACTAATGCTTGTGGATGGTGTTTGCCAATGTCAATTAATAAATTATGAACAAGACGACTAACCAATGTACGAGGTGTATCAATGCGAGCTATCAACTGTGGAATAACCTAAAACAAAAAAAAAATGAATTTAATTCAACCTTTTTCATTTAATCCTGTAAAGAATAATTATGTTATTAATCACTTACTTGTAACCATGTGTTAATTTGACTGGACCTCAACCCATCAACAATTGCATCGTATACATCGTGATTTTGACCGTATTCAAACCAAAGGGTTAAAAGTCTCAATGTGTCTTGTAGTGAACTACCGTGTGATAATGAAATTGATCGAAAAAATCCTTCAACAGCAGGTACAGTGAACTGTGAAATGTACTGATCGGACTTAACAGCCTAAAATTAATATTGTGTAAAATTATAATAATAATGTCTCGTAGAAAATCAAAAACTACTTCAAAATCAGCTGTTTCACTAGTTTCTCCTTCAGTAGTGTCCTCATTAGATTGAGACCTGTTTTGTTGATTTTTGTAAAACAAAACTGTTTCAAAATTCATATAGGCCCATGAATGCCAAGCTTTATACCAGCTAGGATCGTGAAATTTGGCTGCAGAATAATAGTCTAAAATATTGGGTATTGATTGTTCAGTTAATCCCTGAAGCTCTTCCTGCCAACATCCTAACTTCAAATAACATCTATAAAGATGTATTCATAATAATAATGAATGTTCAATTGAAATAAAATTATCATTTTTTTTTAAAAAGTCAATTTACCTAGCTAACAATTTTTTAGTAGATTCAGTTTTAAGTTTATCAAAGTCTTTTCCTCTTCGCTTTAATTGTGGTAGTACGTTTTGAACTAAACAATTCAAATGACTAGAAAAAAAAAATTAAGTTTCAGAAGTTTATATAAAGAATTTTTTGAAGTGAAACTTCTTTAAGGAGGGTTATAATAATAACTTTACAGTCTTGAAACTATCCTCATGACACATGACATGCGGCACATTGGCATTCACAATCATATTAGCTGATCGATAGTGAGTTCAAATCTCAAGCAATCTCCATAGTTTGCATTATTTTGCACAATGATAATATAATATTTGTTTGTTATATATATTTGTACATGATGTAACTTCAAATACACAGTATTTTGAATATTTACCATTTTAAATTTAAAAAAAACTCCACAAAAATGAAATATTTCGTCAGGGGCGGAGTGGCTGGTCAGGTTACTGGGCAAATACTCGGTGGCCTAGCTTATGAGTGGCCAGAAGTGTTCAATATTAAAAGTTTATTTTTGTTATTTAAAAATAAATGTTTGATAATTAAATTATTTTTACAGGATAGAACTCAGATATCGATTTATATTTATTAATAGTGGAATCATAATAAATGTACAGTATATTGCATGATACACCTATCTACATTTTTATAAAATTGCATAGAAGGAATTCCGATAGGTACTGGTAAATATTTATAATCAAATTTGAAACTAATAATTATCAACGTTTGTAAAAATGTATGTTTCTAAAAGCCTTTCTTCATCAAAAAAATTGTTATATCATTGGTAAAGGTATACCTAATGAGGGGGAGGGGGCTAAGGAACGACCAACGGTTTATTGACCATGTTTAATACGAAAAAAAAATGAATACTTAACATAAACTATTCAGCATTGATAAATTATGTACCTATTTATAAAATCAACTTAAATTTATGTTTGCTTTTTATATACCTATAAAAATCAATAATTTTATTCCGATCTGGATGAAACTATTCACACTTGATATTCGAAATAAGAGAACGATCACAGTCTACTTTTTTTCTAGAAATTCAACCCCTAAAGAGTGGTTGAAACAAAGTTATTAACGGTATTTTGTATTTTGGCTGAAATGTTTTCCAAAAAATGTGTATGGTGGATACTATGGAAGGGATATTAATTATGTTAATTGGGTGATAAAAGTTCAAAAATGCATTTAATATTCATATTAAACAAAAATTGTAATTAAGTATACAACACTCAATACAGTATCAAAAAATGATAAAAATTGAAGTGATCTGGACATATTTTATATTTGCCCAGTAAGAATTTTCAAGCTACTTTATAGCTATATTTTCTATACTGTAAATACACCAGTGCAGTGACATCAATTCTGCCAGCCAGTATCTTAAATTTAAAACCAATCAACCTAACCTTACCTGTAGTTTTCAAAAATACACAAATTGACCTTTTGTAGACAGGGTAAAATTTTCAAAATACTCGAGCTATTTTTAGGTTATTTATACGTATTTGATATGTTCATGTTTTTAAATGTATTTTTATTTAGTAACTAAGTATTTGTTATTAAAATAATATTATTTAAAATAAATGATTAAAAATGTAACACAAGTTACATTATAAGTTGTACTTAGTGGTCTAAAAAACAAATTTGAGTTTAATGCATGTTTTTTCTTCGTAAACGTTTTAAGATCATATTTTGACGGAAATCATAAAAATTACAATATTTAAAAATATGTCTTACTGACCTTCACACCGAATCGTTTTTCGTTAGTTATGGTTTATTGTTGTATACAGATCTAAATTAAATGACTATCTTCCAAACCCGACCCCAGTATCAACTTTTCTTTTTTACTTGACTTCTACTGCATTTTGTATGTTTTGATTTTTTAATTAAAGTATAAAATTCTACTTACATCCCTGAAAGAAGAATCACTTCTACCCTGCCTACTCATAACACATTATTTTTTAAATATTTACTTATAGGCTTCTGGTTTGGCTCCAGAAGTCCACATGTGTTTTACATAAGTAAACGTTACTTGAGGATGTATCATTGGTAAGGATTTGGTAGGTTCTGTTGAAGGATCTGTATTCAGTAATGTTGTCAAAGTTGCATGAGAAAAACCCTAAAATCAATATCATTAATATAAATTATTATACAGTATACATTAGTCAAACATAACCTAAGGATAACAGGTACAATCGATATTAGATACGGAAGCTATATGATAATCCAGAATGAACCTAGATCAATGGAACATATTTTTCCAAAATCTAAAAACCTTTGTCCGTAATTTATATTCACTAATAATAATACGAATTTCTGAATTATAAGTCCCAGAAAAATTGGTTTTAATTTTTAGATTCCAGGCAAATACTGTCAGGGATTTATATGTTCCATCCATTTAATTTCCAGAATATGACCATAAATACTAGTACCATTTGCGATGATTTACGACACAAAGCAGAATACTTGAGCCATGTATGCATATCTTCTTCGGGACTCAACACCAAAGAGTGCACTTGAATAATGCGCTGCCAATCTTCGACCACTCTTTGACATCCCTAAAATATACGGATTAATATTATAATACTGATTAATAATTTTAAAATGTGTATTTAATTAGTTTCTACTTATTTGAATTTAATTAACATTACCTGAAGTCTGTCCCACCAAACTTTATAAATTATTTGTCGTTTTTCGGGTTTCAATTTATACTGAATAACTTCTTCGAGTTCGGCTAACATTTGTACTGAAACCATGGCACCATACGCTCGTTGGTAACTCTCTGCCGCCATGGCTGTAAGTTCAGTGTCCAAAATTTCTCGAGCCAAATCAATAAACTATACCAGTAACAGTTAATTTATAAACAGTCTCTAAATTTATTATAGTCAGTAACAATCTTATATTACCTTCTGAGCATATTCATACTGTTCTCCATGAATAGATAAGATAGCTCTGTAAAATGCACCATCCATAGTATCTCTTGGTATGCATCCTACATAAACTCCCATTTTCTCCCAGTCTTTCAATACCCAAGCTGCAACTGATGCACCTCTTGACATTTTTTCACGGCCGCTCTCGGGAAAATTTGACCAATGAGATTCAGCCACATTATTCAGTTTGTCCCATTGACCCAAAGACTCCAAACATCTACCATTAAACAATTTTGTAACACAAAAATAAAAATAGATTTTGTAAAAGTAATATTAAACTTACCTCATTTGCCCTAAAGCCCAATCTACATTATGTGGTTCCTTTTGCAAACACGTTTCATAATACGATAATGCTCCCTCCCAATTGTGCAGTTTTTCAAACCATCTTGCTTTTACGGGAATTTTATCACTGGATTTATCATGTTTATCCATAACCACATTCAGAAGTCCTAATGACATACATAAATAATACAATTATACAATTTGAATGAAAATTTTTTTTTTTTTGAAATTTTCTTCTTAGTATTTACAATTATTATTAGGCACTATACATTTTATACGATTTCTGGTCAGTTAGGTGAATCTTTAACAAGGATTAGTAAAACTAATAAACCATTTAGTCGATTTTCGTATATACAATTTGATCAGACAAATTAGACTTCCTATTTGGATAACAATAATAAGTTTGTTGTAATAAACGTTTGGGTAGAGGGGGAGGAAAGCAGTACTTGTATAGCAGTATAATACAGTAAAATAATGTATATGTATTTCCGTTATTTAATCGTAGACGATTTTAATAGAGTACTTGTCATTTTATTCGTCTTAATGTGCTAATAGGGAGGGGATAATTGAAATAAATTTTAAAAACCTAAAATGTGTATAAATAAAAAATATGAGAATAAATAATAATTAAAAGAAATCAAAAAACCTGACTATGGAGAAAACAAACAAAAAAGATAGAAATTACCTATATGATAAAAAATTAGGAAAGGATTGTCAATTACCACTGGTAACAGTACTATAGGCTTCATTAATTTGTAAACTGCAGGACATCAAAACCTCTTTAAATGTATAATAATGGCTAATGCTAAAGTTTTATGTTTTAATGTTATATTATTTGTTACTGAAATATGTTTGTTTTATATATAGTATGGAATTATTTGTCATTAATCTGTATAGTATATCTGTATATCATTTTACATAGTTAATTGAACTTTTTGTATTATGTCTATGATTGTTCTTCATAATAATTATTGCTAGGTATATTATTATTATTAGTACTATTATCATTTATCTTTTTTTTTTTTTTTTTATGTTTTACACAACATAAATTATAAATTAAATTTTAAGATAAGTAATAGTTTTAACAAATTATTCAATTTCATATTAAATTCATATCTGTAAACTGGAGTTTACTAAGTATGTATAAAATAAATAAATAATTACATACTGAATTGTGTTTTGTTATTTTATATACATCTACGACACACAGTCTTACACAGATACACAGTATTTTGCAATAGCTAATTTTAGTTAGATCAAACCATCGTAACTTTATCTTATCTACAAAATTGGCACCCATCTAAATACCATCTAAGATAAAAATTATGGCCATCTAAAAAATGCTTTTTCTAAGTCTAAGGGTATTAATATTAGGTGCAGTTTCTAGTTTTTTGCTTTACGTATATCCCTGTGCAAGGAAGAGAAAGTATCGCGAGACTTGGGTGATTTCGGCGAAATCCACATTGCTCGTTTGTTAGTAAATTTGATGGTTTTAACTCCTTAAGTGCTAAATGAAGCGTTTATTTACTATTTTTTCCATTAACTTTACCTAGTATTATTGAGTGAAATGGCTCTATAGTTGAAGATGTCGAATTTGTTCTTGTTCGGTTTTAGGATCAATTATATTAAAGGGTTGGTTAACTGTGTGATCTTGTTGATAGAAATAAAGTTCAAGGTCCCTTTTAACTTTTTCTTTTGTCTTGTGTTTAAAATTAGTAAATTCGTATTCATAGTTTGAATTACAACTATTTTTGGTAAAGTCCTAGGCAAAAGCCTCGGTTATGTCTGTAGGTTATAAGAGTGTGATGTCATTATGGTTTAGATTGAATGGTAAAGATTAGTGAGGGGCTCCTTAAATGGATTTAATTTTATTTCACATATCGGTATGTGATGTGTTCGAATTTGAGTTTATGTATTTTTGCCAAAATTCCGTTTTGCTTTTTTCTTAATAAGAAATTCGTCATTTTTAGTACACCTTGGTTTACATTTCCAGAAATGGAATTGCACAGTTTAATTGTGTGTCAATGTCTATGATATAAAATTATGTAATGTATGGTTTCGTGTACTTATGTATTTAGTATTGTCGCAAACGTGCGCCTCTTCTAAAAAATTGTACCATTGTCCATCTACAGGGACAGGAACTGATAGAAGCTTTATTAATCACACAAATATTATTACTAATACTACAATTTTAATTAATAGTTTACTACGAATGTAACAGCACCACCAAAATAATGTCTTCAACCATTTAATAACATTGTAATAAATATTATCATTTCATTTTCATAATCCTGTTTTGTATGTGTACACTGTGAAGCTTTTCTGGAATAATTATTTCTGATAATCATTATTATTATTCGTTTGAAATTTGGTATCTATAATAAAATATATATATATTTTTAAATTGTATTTACATACCTTTAAATAAATCATTCTCCCCTCAGTTGCCTTAGCCATGAATTGGCCTCTATATCCTCAGCTAGTCTACCCATACTCTTACCTCTCAAAAATGGTTTATTGACACTGTTCAATGATCATTGATCATTCAAATTATTTAATATATTTTATTAATAATTATTAGTGATTTAAACTAAACTCATATTAGTATTAATATTTTGCATATAACAAGAATAATAAATTTAATAAAATTATGTCTTACGAATAAGATGTGAAAAAAAATTCATCTCATTTCTATCTAGATAAAATTAGTTTTATTTGATCTTTATCTAGATATATTTAATTATTTCATTATTATTTATCTATACCTAGATAATTTTTGAGTTCAGACATCTTATCAGCTATATGTAAATAAAAAAACTATTTAAATACAACACTGATCTTATGTTAATTTGTTTATTTAGATATCATTTTCAACTTAGAAAGACTGTTTTGTTTTAACTGATAGGTTTTAATTAAATTTAAATGGAAGAACTTATCAAAAATTTACCATTAGTTGTTTTCTGTAATTACCTGATGCCGCCTCTTTTTGCTGCAATTTATTGTTAATGGATATTAGTGATCCAACAATATCTGGGCATATTCGTTTAATTTTTTCCTTTTTGAATTCGTCTTCTTTGTAATGTAAAGCTTTTGCATAAGCCCTACAGTCCATAGCCCTTTCACCAAGTATATGAGTATCAATAGGTAACGGTCCTTTTTCACAATGATCCATAAATTCAGCCAAGTTCAGTATAGTTTGTGTCATTTCCGGTAAATCAGAAACCATCAGAGCCTGTTCCAATGCTTGAATGAGTTCTTTTCGAAGTGGCTCTGTTAATTGTGTCCAACAACTAACAAATGCTGCATTGAACAGATCCTTGGGCAGTTGAGAATATGTTTGGGCAAGTGCCCAGCATGATCGTAGTGCTGGAGAAGGTGATTCTTTGAGAAAATCAATGCCAAGTTGCCTTAACCACTCCAGCCAATCGTCTTTGGATACACAACGGTTGACTAGCCATGATTTTCTTAAATTGGGTAAAGAAGTGTGGGTCTACATGAACATAGACAAACATTTTTATTAAAAATAAATTGTTACAACTATATAGTTTACAAAGCACACAGAATACTAAATACCTACATAAAAATGAAACTAAATTTTGAAATAAGGATATCATAGTAAAAATAAATAGTTAGATAGATGACTCATAGAAATAAGTTTGGTTTTCTCTGTTTTACTGTGGCAAATTTATTTCAATATTTTATTGTTGGTTAAATTTGAAGATCTTCATTATGTAATCTAATATATTGGGCATGACTGGTTTCCACTAAAAGTGTACTTCCCCTTTCCGCCAAATGAAATAAGTTAGTTTAATAATCGAATATCAATGGACGATTGTTAATTAGTCAAATAAATAAATTAAAAATCCAAAAAGTTTTTTCTATTGATGAGCAATAAAAACTTTAATCGTTATTTCTTAAATACAAAGTAAAAATAGTTATTAATACTCATAAGCCATACCGATTGTTCTTACACAAAAAATATCAAATATATAATTACTTTAATTTATTACAGTATAAGTTCACACTTATTTTAGATTTTGAGCGAATCGAGAAATGTATCTATTATTTTACAATATTTATTTATTTTTTTTTTTTTTTGTGAACAACATTTCTACCAGAAATTTTGCTCCAATTTTCAAGTGTAAAACTTTTTCTAAAAGGAAATTTGACTGGGATGAAAGAGATAATTTTTAAATTTCATAATAAATGAAAAAAAAAGGGGACCATTTGCAAAATTAATAATTTTCAAATTTTAAATACTAAAGCCTTTTAAAACATGTATAACCAAACTCTACTCATCTTTAATCATTTCATTGGCAAAGATTAACCGCTGCATACAGACTACAGATATACATTAAATTTCCTCCTGTATCCTATCTTCCCAACTTTTCACCTACAACAATAGCACAACCTAGGTTGTTGCATCAGTTGATATTTTAATTTAATGTCAATATTTGTATTTATTTATTTTTTTAATTTTCAGATATAATTTTGTAAAAATTAATGTCATATAATTAGATATTGTTAAGTTTTAGGTATGTAGCTACCTTTAATATAACCCATAGTATAAACCATATAAATTTGTTAATTTCATTAATAAATTTAACTGTATATTTTAACTATACCTTAACTGTCCATATTATTCTAATATTAGACTACATTTTTTCATTTGGCAAAAACGGGTACTCCCAATATATAATTGAATTTTAAATCGTAAATGTTAAGTAATGAATATAATTTAACCAATTGTATTATAGGTTTAATAATCTTTATTTATGTTGTAAATTTAAATATATTATGTAATAATTTGAATATTGAATAGTATGCTGTGTCTTTTGGCCACCAACTTAGTGGGTACCTTACTTTAAATAAAAGTTATTCCTCTCCAACAGTAAAAATACCTTTTTTATTATAGTAGCAGAATCTCCAAGAACATGTACTCCTGGTTCTTTTTTAATTTTTAATTGTTTAATTTGGTTGGAAAGCAAAAGATTATTATCCAGTTTGCCATCAGTTTTCTAACAAAAAAACAAAACAGTAGAAACAACAACTGTAGATATTAGTTAAAACGTATTAATTAACTAACTGAAGATATATAAGTGATAAGCGTGTCGTAAGCTGAATAAGTGACTTGATGTTTTGTTAGTGTATGTGAAACAAGTGGTACGAATACCAGATACTTAGGACCCAACTGACACACTAATGCACATAGAGTTTCCATAGCAATAGGCCTAAGCTCTGTTTTTCTTTCAATTGAATTTATCTAAACATAAATAATACAAAAATTCAACACATTTATTATGAAAATATTGCATTTAAAAAGGAAAACTATTCATACGATTCCATGTATTATGCGTGAAGCAAAATCAGTGAAATCCAAAGTGTAGGCTAATTGTGCAACTGTTTCCATTGCCACCTGACAGACTATAATTTCAGTACAATGAAATAGATTAATGAGTGGTGGCATGAGCATATGTATAAATTCATCTAAGTTAATGCCAAATTTACATAAAGCCACTAGCATCTAAAATTATAAATGCAATTTACAATTTGTTATTCCTCAAAAAGATCAATAAATAATCAATAATAATAGAAATAATAATAATAATTAATAAAATCTTCAAAATAAACTTACCCTTTTGGTAACAATGCGATTTTTCCCCGAGTCATAATACAGAATTCTAAGAATATTAGGCATTAATTGAGCCAAGTATATTTTGAATTGTACACCGAGTGCTTTGACTAAACATTCAACTAGTTGAATTAAAGTGCATTGTAGTAAACTATTCGGGGTCCATAATTCCTATGAAAACATAATATATACATATGTGTATATATATATAAATACGAAATTTTAAGCATAAAAAACGGTAATATAAATAACTATATAATATAACTAATTAAAGAAAATATATAGTCACTTTGATTAGCAAAAATATATCCTCTAAATGGTCTCGAACATATTGACCAACAATATTAATGAGTACAGCTAACTGCTGGAGTAAATATTCTCTGTAGTTAGGGTCTGCTGTACGAATGACATTTAAAAAACTAGGCATTACTTGTGGTACATAAGGTATACATTTTGTACCCATCGATTGAAAAATGAATGTTATGGCCTAAAAGAATAATATTACAATATTATTATATATTATTATAGTTGAGTAAATTATTCAAGCCTACTAAAATTTAATAGAAAATTCATAAATGAATAATTTCTTATAATTTAAAACAAAAGTAAAAATTTAAATGATTTGATCTTACATGTACGACCATAGTATGATGTTGAAATAAATTTGGATCACGAATAATGCGTATAAGTGTCGCAATTGCTACAGCCGGATAATACTCCTCTAAAGTAGATGTGCTCATATTGACCAACATTTCACTAGTTGTCCATTCAGTTTCTGATATTGGACGAGAATCAGTCATCGAAAGTAAAGCGGTAGACTCTATTTGAGAATCAATCTGTCCCAAATTCATTTTATGTTTATAAGGATCTAAAGCTCCAAGAAGACCAAGTACTCGAATTGTTTCTCTCCTAAAGCAAATTTTAATTTAATTTAATTCATAGTAATATGTTTCAAATAAATTTAAAAATTCACCTAACTAATGGTTGTTGTTCAGTTTTTAAAAATCCAAGCAAAGTATCTAACAACGTAGGATATTTTTCATAAGGTTGGATAACATAGCCCAGTCCTTCGACTAGTTTGCCAAGTACCCAGAGAGCAACTCCTCGTTTTTCTTGAGATCCGCTGTCGCCCAACATGTCCAATAATATAAGCAACAATTCGTCAGTCCAACAGTACATTTCTTCACCATTAACCTATTGATGTTAAACACAAACATAAATAACACAAACTAAATTATTCAAAAAAGTATAATACTAATTCACATACTTGTGCCAAATCTCCAATACACGCAAGTATACTTATCAAGATACTTGGGTTTAAATCTGGTTCATTAAGTTTGGGAACTAATATTTTTAAAATGGGTTGAACGTACGGTGCCACAAGACGAGGAGCGTGAACAGCCATGTGGTCAATCATTCTAGTACTTTGCTCTTTATTACGACCCATTCCACTGTGTTCAAGTTCGGTCAAACACTTTCACCAAAAATATATTATTAATTAAATTTTTTAATAAAATACAGCAATACATGAAAGTGTATTTTGATGATTAATTTAAGAACCTGCATGAGTGTTTTACGAAGTGGTGGCATCACATATGCTGGATTTACTAAACCAAGTCGTCCTATAGTGCAAAGGGCCATTTCTCGTATTTCAAAATTAATATCATTCATAGCCATAAATAATGCAGTGAGGTTATGTACTTGAGCAAGGTAAAAATCGAAACTGCGGTGGAGATTTTTAAACACTGCATAACGCACATCAGATTCTAAAATACGAGGTTTCAAAATAATTAAAGGTAAAAATCGAAACTGCGGTGGAGATTTTTAAACACTGCATAACGTACATCAGATTCTAAAATACGAGGTTTCAAAATAATTAAATCATTTTTAAATTACCATTTATTATATTCACTTACCTCTATCAGAAACTCCAACAATAAGTAATTGCTTAATAATTGTAGAAATAGTATACCTCACGGTTTGTGATGTTTTACTCTGCAAAGATTCTATTGTTAAACGCAAAAGCTGACTGCAAGTTCTAATGGATTCAATCCGAATTAATTGTTCTTTGCTGAACAAATAGTACTCAGCACAACGTCGCAAAAATTGTAATAAAGAATGACCTATGTATGAATGCAACCGTATTATAATACAAATCTTACACATTGAAGTTTGTAAGACAAAATATCGTATTACACTTATTCATTTTTATTAATAAATATTATAAATATATAAATATATATATAATAATATTAACCTTCAAAATTGAAGTTTCCGAGTGTTCTGAGGGCCAAAATTATATTTGAACTGTTGTGAGGATGAACCACACTTGCTGGCAATATCGACACACCTCCACGGGCAGAAGTTGTTAAGGCAATTGGTGGAGTTAAAGGTTCCCTACTTTGCTTATTAAGAACTTGTGAAAGCATTTTTAACAATCCTAAAATAAAAATATTTTTTAGTACCTACTGAGGAAAAGAAAACTAATGTACTTTTCATAAGTACCTTCAGATATATCTTTTTTCAGTGACGGAACAGCAACAGCCAATTCTTTTAAAGCTATTGTTAGTGTAGAGCTAAGTCCCATGCCTAACATAGGTTCAAGAAGCTCTTTAATATCAGTCTTAATGTTTTGTTGAGTTCCTATGGCTAATAATGTTATACAAACAAAAACGGCAGGTTCTACGACGACCAGTTTTTTTTTTTGAATTTCCTGTGAAAAAGATAATACCAACAATTAAATATTATTTTCAAAAGGATAAATAATTTAAACAATTAAAATAATATTCATAACAGTACTTTTGGTGGTAAGAAACTGCGAACTACATCTAAAATTTTCGCTAGATATGGTTTTATATGATCTTCAATCGCTATTGCTACTAGACCAATAGCAACAAATGCATTAGTCCGTTGATCGCGATCACGACCACGAGCAGTTGAAATAAGAAACAACATAGAAGAATTTAAATAACTATAAAATAAAATACAAAATAACTACATACACAAAGTTGTTTACACAAAATAATACCTTTGTACAAAAATAGATTTATTAAATGCGGCTAGTCTAGGAAGCACTTTCATTAATGCTATATTCACTAAAATATTCCTAGACAGTCTATGAGATACTGCTGATGAACACACACGATCATAGTTTTCTTGAAGAAGAGTTTTGCAGGCACTGCTTTCATATCGAATACCCGAAGATGTGATTCTCACAGAATCATCATCTGTACGGCCAGAACCACCAACAAGTCCTTTTAAAGCAGATTTTGTTCGGGGAAGTAAACTCAATATTTCCTAAAAACAAACCAATTTTACATTTATTTTGAATAATAAAAATGAAAATAAAAAATGTTAACTTAAAAAAATTATAAAGTGACAAATTGACAAATGTGGAAAAGTTAAATACATAAATTTATCATAATGGAATCATTTTTACAGATGATACACATAATAAAATATTGGGACTTTCTTTTCTGGTTATTAAAACTAAACACTACAAGATATTTAATAAAAAAATCCATCTAACCGCACTAGTTTTACTTTGATCCCATTGTAATCTTTGCATTAACGAGTCATTTTGTCTTTCCCAATTAACATTGCTAACTCTAAGTAATTCATTCAACACCAATAATGAACCATGTATTTTATCATCACGAATAACACCTTTTTCTTTATTTATTGAATCGTCCAATCCATTCATAACTTCATCATAACACTGTTTGTACCTAACAGTAAAAAAAAAGAAATTGTTATTATGAATCAAACTTTGATAAAAATTTGTTTTGTGAATAGTACCATTGAGATTTGTGTGTCTGTTTAGATGTTTCTCTTTGGGCAGTTACAACAAGTGCTGCTCTTAATGCTTCAACAGCTCCATCTCTAATACTAGGTTTTGGATCACGGGTTACATTTAGCACCAAGTCAAAAAATTGAGCTGCGTGTTGAAAGAAAAGAGTTGGAACCACAGTGGCTATTTCTCTCAGTATAAGTACCTATAAAACAATATTTTTTTCAAAGTTGAGATCATTTGTAAATAAAGAAAATTATATTATTTTACGCACAGCTGCATATCTCTTGGGTTCATTTCGTACACCGCCTAACCATTCAAATGATCTTTTCACTTCAAATTCAACATACTGATTCGCGTAGGTTCCAGAGTCTAGAGCTAATTTGCCAACAGTTTTTGCAGCCAGTTCCATAACTGCAGGATCGGCGGATGGTAATACATTACGTAAAAAGTTTGCAAATCTACTGACACGATTGGTATCATTGCCGACATCAGCACCAATTAAACATACTGAACAAATTTAGTCATTAATTTAAAAAAACTTATTAATTGTTGCTAAAACAATAACAGATTTTTCTCAAGATATATACTATTTTTTGATTGTTTTTTATTCTACACATATGCTTTTTGATATTTAAAACGTTTTATATAACTATTATTATGAAAAATTAATTTTAATCCTTTCATTCGACATATTTTATCAAGGGATAATTATTGATCAAAGTAAAAACCAGTGATGAGAAGTGAATTTTTGTATAAATTGTACATAAGTATGTTCAATTTTCAAATGGTGTGAATGTGAATTAAATTTTTATTTATTATGCTCATTAAAGTTATGGTTAATTTTTTGACAAGTTAATTTTCATAGAATCTAATTATATTTATAACTAATATTTTATTTACATATTAGAAAAAAAAATTTAAATTAGATACATTGAATTTTTATTTACTAAGTATAGAATAAAACAAAATAGCGAGAGCTAATAATGCATTTTCAGTACAAACTATTAATAACTATTCTAAATTATCTGCAGTACCTATTTCAATAATAATAATATGATATTATGAATTATGACCTAAATCAAGATTAAAAATAAAATGTATATAAATTATTATAATGTATTGCATGGTACATATGGAGCTGAGTAATTCTTGGAACAGTGGTGTACCTAGTGAAGAAAATTAAGGGACTTCAAACCTCCCTCCCTCATTGGCCATGATAAATACAAAACAAAATAGTAAAAACTATTCAACATTAAAAATGATTACTAACAAATACCATTTATTGTATAGCATATATGATATTTATACTACGTATTTAATTAAATAAGAATAAAAATTGAACTACCATAGAATGTGTTTTTAAAAACAACTTTTTTTTAAAATTAAGCAAACTATATAAAATTTTCTTTTAAAAAAAAATAGCAGGTACCTACTTTTCAAATTCAGAACGAGATTTCTGCTAGAAAAACAAAATCTTAAATAACAAATCTTTTAATGCATTTAATGTGTCCATTTTTCCTAAAAGTTTTTTCCCATGTATAATGAAAACTAGGTACAAAGAAAATCAAAAAACCACCTTTTCAATGTACTAACAAAGTCCAAAATTTTACACAAAAGAACATTTTTTTTATTAATTGGCAAAATTTTGGTAGAAAAGTGGTTAACAAACAAAAAAATTAAATAGAAACAAAAGAATATATATAGTAAAACTAATACATTCCTCAAAGTCGAACAGTTTGATAATTAGTAATTTTACAGTTAGAAGAACTGAGATATAGACTTATACTTTAAAATCGGGTTCATAGTAAATGTAGACTATAGTGCACAATATATATTGTACATGGAATTTCATAGTTGAAGTAGACACTTATCAAACTTGTTTTTAATTGAATCCAATGATACTGCAGGTAATTGACATTTATATTCTATATTTCTAAATACATTTCTTCATCAATCATGCAAAATTAAATGATTCATTTCTTTTTGTAAAATAATTATTTTTAGTTGGGTGTTTTAGTTTTTAACTTTAGAGTGCCAAACACATTGAAAGCTAAAGGAAAACCCAATAGCGACATACAAACTGTGGTGCGATATAGGCATTATTTTATGAACTTATAGTGTAGCGTGTAATGTATTCGATTTACTCAAATGTATTAAATGTTTGTTTTTATAAAATTATATATTGTTTTTTTTTGTCCATACAAAATTTTCCAACCAGAAATCTTGTTCAGATAATCTTCTTTAAAGGTGGTTTTTGGTAGCAAATTGTGTCTAGATGGTGCATTTGAGCATTGGTTTTATATGTTTGCATGTTTTAATACATTTATACTAATAAACTTATAAATTATCTATTGTCATAATTGAACTGTCCAAACTTCAAGTCTCAAGTCTCTAGATTTGTAATTGAATCGAAACAAAACAAAAAAAGGAAAAAAATTTAAAACAATACATTTTGTAAATTTTCAGTTTTCTCAGTTTTTCCCATTTATTATAAAAACGGCTGGAAAAATAAAAAAAAAACATCTCCAAAGTACCTACCACTCCAGTCACTTTTGAAAAAAGTACTACACTTAAAAATCGGATCAACATTTCTGGTAAAAAAGTTATTCACAGGGAAAAAAGGCAGTAATATTTACTAGGTAATACATTTCGTACATTTTTCTGATTCCCTCATTTATTGGTAAAACTCCTATAAAATTATTTTAAACTAATCTATTTTTTCAATTCTAATTGGCCTAGCTTATTACCTGTACAGATTATTATTTAACTAAATAAACACCTACAATATTACTGCAAGTATTAATATCCAAGTTATTTTTTCAATAAATTTAAATATGAAAATAATAAGTATATAGGCACAAAGTATAGATCTAAACAATTTTTATCTGCATTTCCTTTTATATTAATTTGTTTGAATATAAAATTGTAATGATGCAAATTTAATTACACCACTTTAATCAATAGACCTATCACTTTGACATTAATAAATATTTCCAATGACTATAGACAGCTATAATTATAGTATTTATTGATAGGTTTGATAGGATTGATTTAAAATACCAAATGGTTTATTTTTCAGATCCATAATACATACTAATGCAAACTTACATATAGCAAGTATACCACCAATTTTCGAATTGTTTTCATTGCTAACTACCAAATTATATATATGTGTATTAAACGTATCGTAAAAAACTTCACACTCTTCTGCTGATACTTCGCGCAATTCAGTTTTAACCTAGGACAATAATAATTAGGTAAATTAGATAAGTATTAAATAAATATCTACCGTGAATTGGGTGGACATTGATTGTTTTTTTTAATCTTTTCGGTACATTTTAATCCATAACTATTGTATATTTCCAAATAAATAAACAAACATGGTGTCATCAGGCTTATTTCAAGTTTTGTATTGCCTTAAATAAGGTAAAATAATATTGTAAAAAACGTTTGTAGTTATTTAAATATATAATTTTTAATGTTTCTATCAATCTTACACAATATGTGGGGTTACTCTGGGGTCTGTCTTTTTTTCGGTAATAGATCAAAAAGTCCGAGGGCGAAAAATCCATGGACAAAATGTCCGTTTTGAAAAAGTCAGACAAAAAGTCCGACCACGTTTTTCGAGTAAGACTAAAATTCCGAAAATGAAAATTATTAAACTCACAAAATATATATTTTAACAAATATTTTTAATTTTCTAATACGATAGTATATTTGACTAGCTGATCCCCGCACGGCTTTGCTCGTGCCAATTTAAATGAGAACAGGTAGAAAGTGGGTAGTCCGCCTTCGACAGACTAAAAGCTCGTGTTTTCACAATAGATATTAAAAATGGTACCTATGCACTTTGGCAATAAATAGGTAAGTAGGTACCTAAATAAATGAATCTACATCAAGTGTTGGAAAGTCATGTGTGATGAGGTCAGATATCATAAAATTAAGTGTCATAATGATCAGAATGTATTAGATAACCTAAGGTCTTTCAAAATTCACCGCTGTTTAATTAAAACGATAATACTCATTCCAAAACTTAACAGTTAGGTAGGTAGATAATATTTTTTCGTTGGATCTCGTTAGATTCCAAAACTCAGCGTTGCCAATGCAATGATGGATATTTCTAAGGCACTTAATGGTACCTACCAAATTCCACCAATCCTACCAAACGATAACAAAGGAATAGTGTTGCAATCAACACATCATGTTCCAATATTCAACGCAATCTAGATATTATAGTAGGTACGCGACTACTTTTAAACAGATCCATCGTTCAGTGGAATTTTGGAGGGCACGGTTATACGTATTTTATACTATGTTACATTTGGAAAAGTCGACCATTTAAAATTTAGATGAATTAAAGCAAGCCCGTATACAAGGGGGGAGGGGAGGGGGGTATTAGGAGTTTAACTCCCCCTCTCCGCCCATCGAAATTTCTAAAGTAGGTATATATCTATAATATAATTAAGATTATAACAAGTTCATTTATTAAAAATATTTTAAGCCTCCCCCAACCTCGAAAATTGATTCTGAATACGCGCTTGAATTAATTGCATTATATCCATCAAAAACATGCAAGATACAATATTAAGTACACTCCGAACACAGCACAAAAAACATTTTGCGAAAGTTGGAACAATAGGTTTGCACGCATTTAATCGGACAGTCGTCCGATAATTTGGGAACCGATTATCGAATTTCGAACGGAAGTAGTAGATAAAACATAAATAGCATTACGCGTCACATAGAACCCTTAAGAAAAAAAAAGGACCACGGATCAGAAAAAATTATAAAATTACAATACCTAAAGGTCACATTAGTATACTAATGTACACAAATGAATAATAATAAATTGACAACTGAAGAATTGTAAAATCGCACAGGTCATTGTTTGAGAAAACGAAACCAACTTTAAATAATTAATATTATTATTATTATTGTAATGTTATTATTTGAATTCACTAGGTACCTATTTGTTTTATTTGTTATTTTGAACTGATTTAGAATGTTTATAAGAACAATAATCAAATATAATATTGAATAAGAAAACTAATTAAGTTGTATACGATTTTAATTTTGTGAACTGAATAATTTGTATTTTCGGACTTTTATTTGTCCAACAATGAATCCAGACTTTTTGTCCGGGAGTCATTTATTTTTTTTTTCTGTTAAATTTATTGTAGGTAGTGCACAGCAAACACCAAATCTCGCTTCACATCAATTTGATTTACAGTAGTTCAAAAATTGAAGACGTGGGTGCAACAACCAGACATCTCCAAATTATCAAATTACCAAAACGACCATCTCAGGAGAAGTCTTGTTGTTGCAACAAATAGTAAAACAGACATCACCATTTATATATAACCTCCGTATCTAACGATCGGATTTGTCCGATTGTTGCACCAATTGACGGTTTTTTTTTTTTTTTTCAAAAGAATATACAAAAATGAACATTTCTGGTTGTTACACCCACGTCTGAATTAGTACATAAAATGTAGGTGTTCCTTAACACATTGACGGACATTACTGCTATAGCAGTAATATGTAAAATGTCATATCATGTCAATACTGTTGAAACAGTAACCCTTTCAATGGTATTAAATCATAGAATATAATTGACTGCCACATTACGGCTGTCCACAGTGACAAATTACATAGACTTTGGATATAACACTACTAACATACCAGTAAAAACTATATTACAAGTGTCCGTCAATGTATTAACAATAAATGATTTGGTTCATGCATAAAGAGGGTCATTATCACTTTAATTTAATTTTGAGAAAATTTAAAAAACCTTCCTAGTTCTTTGTTCATTTAAGATTTTTTTTTTTTTTTACAGTCCACATAGAACAATTGTGTCAATAACATAATTGTTTTTGATTCTTGATATATTGTAGGTGGTTAGAACAATAAAAAAATTAAAAATCCGCGGTTAATTTGTTCTGGGCAAAAATGGCGTTAAGGACCATTTTTACATAAACCAAATCAAACATCTAATTACATTTTAATTTGAAATAAAAGAAATTTTGTTATAAAATGTATAAACATAACATAGTAGATTTAAAGTAATCGATTATTCAATCAGTTTTTCTCTGATATTCTTCGATTACTACATTATATGCCAATATAGAATTCTATAATAGAATTTTTATAACAACATAGTATAAAATAATCATACATTAATTGATTAATCAGTCTTAGCTAATAACACAATATTAGTTAGGTAACTAGTTACTAGGTATAATTTAAATAACAATTTAGATAAATTCTTCTGTATGGGGGTAATAGCACTCCACTGGCTGGACCGCAAAACATTATTGTAGAAGATTTCTCTTCTTCTTCACTAAGCATTAAGCAATGTCTAATCACCAATTTTTTTTACATGTATACAATGATAACGATTATACAGTGTACCATAAGGTACACCACAACGTATACATATAGCCAAAACTGATAATTCGCCATTAACAACAGCAGAATCTATTGCAGGTTAGGATTCTATTGCAGAATCTGTGCAGTTGGCATGTGGTCTGCATCCGTTTTTTTTTTTTGTACTTACAAGCTACTAAACACCATAAAAATACTCAAGTATTAAAGTTTATTCGCGTTAGAATCAAAATCATCCCATTATCATTATCGATCTGGCCCCATGATACATTTTACCATCATGCGCGATGGATAATTTTTTTCAAATTTTAACAATACAGATTTGTCCCATGCAGGTGTATCATTTGAACCACATTAACAATAAACTAGTTAGGTATATGGTGAATTATTTACTTTGCGACGATAATTTTCAACTTCATAAAACGAGGCGACCAAAACGCACGGCGGTAAATGTAATAAAACATATACCTGGCTGGACGAACTCTTGATAGTTTGGCTGTCCAAAAACATAAGTATGATACGGTACTATAACCTTGATGAACTGCAAAAATATGATTGCATAAACGATTAACAATACCACGTGATCGACGGTTATCACGTGATAATATTAATCGCGCAACAAGATTAAATTAATAATTTCAATGCAAATAAATCTCGCCATCCCCATTAATCATAATGAATGTCATCCCAATTCACGGTCACAGACTTCTACAGGTAATAACGTTAGTATTGAAGTCCGTGTTTACGGTATGTATACAAGTATTAATATATAAAATTAATAATAATTACATAGAGGTTTAAATCACGAGCAGCACGTTTACGAGTCTCAAAGCTCTTGGACTTCAAATTCGCAACAAAAGTATTTATGCGATCAATCAACATGATCCCTTTGGTTCTGCAATGGAAACATCGTGTTGAATGATTAATTTAAATACAGTTGTTTATATATATATGTATACATATTATATTATAATCATAGTTGGTAAGGTGTACAGCGAAAACCCAACGAAGGGTCGTCTGCGCACACATTCGAGGCACTTTAATCAAGTACCCTCGTGGCCTCGTATAACATCATATTATATTTAACAAGTAGACAAGTTTGGCACTGTGACAAATGATGATAGTTTATAAACATCGTGTGTTTATATCGCTACATCAAAGTATAGGTACAAATTTAAAGCAAATAGTTAGTATAAACAATCTTACATAGGTACAATCAGTCTTTTTCTCAGATTATCGAGTTATTTAATTTTACAATGTGTACAACATGTAATTAATTTAAGACGAACATTACATTTACAGACATACAGTGATAATAAAACTTAAAACAAACATTCAAACATATTTTTTTTTTTTTTTCTACGGATTTTTAAAACATCAAAAATTCAGAACAAACAACAATTCGGCATTACTGTGCATTATTTCGATTCAAATTATTATGATAAAGACCGACTGTTCGGTTGAAGTACGTAACTCGTGTGCATCGTTACCAAATGCTGTCCATTGGTTATCAAACAAAGACAAATATTTCTAATGTGAAATTTAGACATTGTCCATAAAAAATATAGCTAATGCGAGTAAAAACATATAAATTAGTAGGCACTTCTCCCCGCCAGCCCTCTGGCAATTTTTCGCTTATTTGCGCGAAAATATTTCAAATTTTCACCATTTTTTAATGAGAGTTGATGGTTAGACGTTTTTGAGGTTACGAATTATTGTAGTGCAATTACAATTTGTTTATACAATTACCGCCAAACGTAAGGATTTGAATTTGAATAATACAATATCATTTTTATAATTATTATACGTTTATACACTATGACCATAATATTATAAATGAACATAATTGTTCGAAATTCATATAAAACGGGTATCTCGAATTTTGTAAAAACAATTAAAAAAATGAAATTGAGAAATAATAGCACAACGCTTTAGAATTAAAAAAAATATAACTATAACAGAGCAAAAATTATTTAGCAGTAAAATCTTCGTGGTGCATTGTAATTGACATCCGGTATAAAAGTTCGTAGTACTTTGAGTTCTTTTTAATCCAAACAAATTAGATGCAATACGCAATGTGTTCTCTATTGTCGATCATAATCAAATACGTTAGTGGATAAGTATATTGTTGTTGTAAATTTCAGTACTTTTGGAAGTGGAGTATTATAATGTCTAACTGTTCCACTGGTTCGTCGGGTAGGGACTCGTGTTAATCGCCAAATAATTTATTCAGATTATAGAGATTTGTACAGATAAATAAATACAAATAAATATGTATAATCTCCCAGTTAATAAACGTTTACTATCTACCACTTGCAATTATTGTTGGCTGTGCTTACTTTAATTTTAACACCATCTCTTATTCGCAGAGAAACACAGTTTCCAGCGAATTAAATATTTCATTAAACTATAGTGTAATATTAACTTAGATGTAATGAATACTTGTTTTTTTTTTTTTACTGTATGTCTGTCTTCTGCGCAAATGTTTTCATAATTATATGTGTCTCTAGCAATGTGTAGTATGCTTATTGCTTATATGCTTAGCGGAACACTGATCAGATATAGTTATCTGAACTTATCTTCCAAGACCGTGAACTCAGCCCTTCTAGCTAGTTGTACTGTAATCCTGTCTAGGTTTATTTGATAATAATGCTGGCTAGTCACTACGTAGGTATTATAGATTTTATCAGAGACAGGGGATGAGAGAAATCGTGATCGTACTTACACCATGTTTAGAAACTATGTTATAAATAATATAATTACAACTTACAGTTTGGTACAGGGGTTACAGCAAGCAGTCCCAGGAGATTGATCATTGGATGTTGTGACGCTGTTTTTCGTATAATCTGTCTTTGTCTCAGAGTTTTTACAAATCAACTTGAATTTTTTTTTAATCGTAGATTTCGTTTTAAAAAATGGCATTCTTCTGCAAATGTTTTATTTATACTCATATAATTACATAAATATAAAACTCATTCCTCGAGTCCATACAACTTAAATTAATTAGGAAGGTATAGGTAGGTAATATAATATAACAAGTATTTAAAAAAAGTGTTTACACTATTTATGAGTAGGTCACTGTTGTTGATGGGAAGTGGAGAAATTGGATACATAAAATGATTTAGTTTTTGATAAATCATTGCAAACGAATAACGATTCTAACCAGAGTTTAGTTAAATATTTTTGATAAATTGTAAATTAAAATTATATTCGTATTTAATTAAAAAAAAAAAAAAACCAATTATAATTGTTCGTGTTTTTAACGAATTTTATCATGAATTTCAACTTTATAAAAATAAATTACGATCAAATTTTTATTTTTCAACTCTAATAAATACAGTTTAGGTAACTTATAATGTACTATATAACAAATTGTTGAGTATTTATATGGGGCTAAACAAGTTAATATACCTATCGCTGAAATAAAGAGGGCAGTTATCCCAGCTTGTGAAAATTCAGATTTTGGAGAAATCCAGATCATAAACCCCCCCTCCCAATAAAATATAGATACTTTGAATTTTAGAAATAACGTAAATAAATAGGTATTTAAATAAGATTTCATTAATACTATTTATGTCTCTTTTCATGAATAAAAATCGTCTTCTTCGCTTCCATGTCAACTATTTTCGTTCGACCATCCTCATTCATAACTTCCAATTGACCTGATCCCCACATCATCTTCGCATACACAATTTCATTATTTTAAATTTTTGCAAACGATGTTTTTTATACTAGAAATATTGAAATATAGAAACAACATATTTTCTGAAATACAATTTTGTATCTAGTTTGTGAGTAAGAAATTCATTGACTTGTCCGTGTAGTTTTTCAAATAGTTACAAAAAATCGAGAAAAAACGTAGAAAGTACAACAAAATGTATGGCATTTGGTTATTTTATTGTTATTCGGTTAAAAATTATTGAAGGGACCTGTAGTTTTCACAAAATACATAAATTAGCCTTTTATGGAATAGGTAACATTTTCAAAAGATTCGAGCTATTTTTAAGGTATTTGATATTTTCATGTGATGTATATTGATACATTATAAGTTGTACTTAGTACTAAAACTTTATTTTCGTAAGTTTGTCCGTTCTTACTGCGTTTTTTTTGTGAGTTTTGCCTAATTATTAAAATAACTACAGGTAAAATTAAAAAAACGACCCTTACTCGTCATCAAGACACCAACTAAATTAAAATTGAAACAAAATAGGTTTATTGTTGTTTATCAATTGGAAAAATATTTTTAGTAGAAAACATAAACCGTAAAAATGTTAAACGTTGGAATCGTACGCCGTAAATTTGTTCGTTTTCATTTTTCGTCTTCTTCCGGTTTTTCCCAATTATTACGAAAGGTACTTGAATAAACAAAAAAAACCTACTCACATTGCGCTCAACTAGACTGAAAGTGAAACAAAAAAAAAGGCTCTAGGCTTTTTCCGATTAAAGCAATATTTCTAGCGGAAAACGTATTTGCCGTTTTTCAAATAATTCTGATTCCGGTTTTTCTCGATTATTTTGTTATTTTGAAAACCCCTTGCAAATAACGACCCCCCTCCCCAGGTAAATTTTCCTTTCGGAAAAAGGTCGTACACTCGATAACCATATATCGGAGCGAGATTTCTGGTGGAAAAGTCGTATACAGACGGGGGGGGAAAAAAAAAAAAAAAAAAAAAAAAAAAAAACATTTCTTAAAACAATACAAAATACAGAAAAACCGTGGTAGATGTACGGTTACCTCGGCAATGACTGTTCGGATTGATCCCGGCTGTTGCTGCTTTGCGGGTCAACAGCGAGCTTTTTCGATATCGCCGAGGCATGATTGAAAAACATACCTGCCTGCAACAATGTTTACGGGGCCGCAGCGCCACTCGCCAGATAACGGGTGTAGGGTACACCGGATCGAACGTAACAGTTAATAATATTCTCGTTTTATGAACGCGCGGGCGAAAACGACGCGATGATCGGCCGTCCGGTAACGCGCCCGTCAATCAGTTTATAGCCGTTATGATTGATTCCGACGGCGCAACTGTTTCGATAAATTATCGTCGTTTCATATTTGCGCCGAACTGTCGGAAACGTGCGGCGTTTTTTTTTTTTTCGTTTTATCCGCGGTCCGTTTCGGCAGATTTCGATTGCGTACGCATACGCCTCGCGATATTACACTGTATGACGTCGGGGTGTCTGTATCGTTGGGTGTACCGGTTAATTTAAAGGCGGCGTTTTTACGACGAAACGAACGTCCGAAGTGCGTGCCGCCGTACCGACAGAGAAAATAAAAAATAAAATGAAACAACGTGCAAAATAATAATAATTCGCAACGGCTGCATTTACCGAAGAAATTCGCATGCAATTATGTAATTGTTTAGGTGTGCGAGTAGTAGCGCTACAAAAACGAAACTGACCAGAGCGAACTGCACTTATCTACTACCTATTTTCTTGTCTACTGCGGAATAATATTATTTTTTGCCCAATTCCTATATAGTGAATGTTGTTATTTACGTTTTTTTCGCGTTTCGTTTTTGCGTGTTAAGTACAGAAAACGTGACGCCTGCCTACATAATAATATTATGTAGAATTATTTCCATAGATAACTTCCATGTGACAGAATATTTAGGTACCTATATGTATACAGAATGTTCCCCGGAGATGCAATAACTTTTGTTCTATATTCAATATTTTTAATTTTTTAAAACTAAAAATAAAGAATTTACCCGTACAAAGTCCAAGATAACCATTTTATAAAATGTATTTTGAAACACTATTTCGCCGCTGTACAAATATTTACTATTGATGAATCGTTAAATTTCTACAATTTTTCGAAGTCTACGAAAATCAACCAAATTAATTTTTTATTGAAACAATTTAAATTTGTTATTTTTAGTCTTTGAAAAAAATATGAAAGTAAAGAATTATAGCGTTTATTAGCCGAAATTAGAAATAATGAACAGAACAAAAGTTTTATTGCATTTATTAAATCTTTGTGAGACACTCCGTATATTATGACATGTAGGACACAATTCTATTGGTTATGAGTTTATGACTAATGATTAATTATAGTTATATATATATTTGTTTCTTTGCTAGGTAGGTACTTAAATTGTAGCTCTACGAAAATACGAAAAAATTGATAAAATGATTGAAACCATGGTGGGAAATACAAAAATACCACTTAAAAAAAATCACCTAAAATCAAAAAATCTCATATTAAATTCCGATTATCTCATCTGCATAGTAAATCAAATTTTATGTTTACTGTGTTAATTTTTAAGCATCTGTAAAAAAGTTAGGGAGATGGGATAATTAGATTATTATATATACAGTTATTAAATTTGTACCTTTACGCAACGGTAAATCATTGATAACCAAAAAACGAATGTCGGTTAAACATTTTTTGAAAGACCATGATTTTTTACGATTAAAACTGTTTTAAACTTTAAGTGCGTATAAAAAAAAACTACTGCTAATCTACTATTTCTTTTACCACTAAATACAACTTATGATAAACCAAGTGTTAAATTATCAAGTATGTCTGCACGACCAAAACAATTATATTCATATAAAATCAAATAAAAATGAACAAAATAATAAATTTGAACTTTTTCAGAAATACTCTTCACTACCTTAGGGGATGAATTTTAAAAAGCCGTTGTATAAGGAACTTCTGTGCAAAATGTCAAGTATTTGAACCTAGCAATTAAGGCTCTGTGTTGATACCTCAGTTTATCCTTTTATATATAGGTGTATCAGTGGAGTGATGAGAGAATATAGGATAAGGGATAAGCAATAGGCATGTAATTGAAAGTAGACAAAATGAGACATAATAAACCGAGATGCTCTGGATGAGAGAGGCATCTAAAGCAGTAAGAATTGTAATGAAAATAACGTAGGAGGAAAAAGATGGAGAAAAAGACCGAAAAAGAGGTGGTTAGATGCAATTGGGAATGATATGAGAGCAGTAAATGCATGCAATAACAATGTGGGAGACCAGGTTAAGTGAAAGACAAGGATGGCTGATCCCAAATATTAAAGCAAAGGAGAAGAAGAAAATAATAAATATAGTAGATATGGACACTATTTTGATTTTAAAATAGTTTTAAGACTTCATTTTGTATTTTGATGATTCCTGCACTGCTGTTAAAGGTTTATAAATAATATCATGATGATCATTAGCAATATAAAAGGTAAATACCTAAAATATGTGTTAATTATTTTCATCACAAAAAATCTAAAATAGTTATATAATTTATTTGTATTAAAATAAGTTGTTATTACATAAAATATTTTATATAATGCATAAATCAATTTTTTTTTAACAAAATAAATATTAATTTAATAATTTAATGCTTTTCAATTTTTGTCAAGTCTATTTATAAATACAAAAAAAATTTATAAAAAATAAAAGTCCAGCTCAAACTGCACCGAATAGATCAGTAATATACAGTAAAATATAATGAGAAATTAAATTAAATATAAACAAAAAAATATATTCATCAAAAAATAAATTGTACATGGTAGTAAACTTTAAAAAAGTTTTTACGTAAAACAACAGAACGTAATAATAATAACAAATAATTACATTATTATAAAATAATAATAACAAATGTATTGAAATGTGAGACATTACCAGAATGGACACCTGTAAGAGATAATAAGATATATTTTTTGTTATAATATATATTGCATAATTTCTAAAACAGTAATAACAAAATTTTATAATTTTATGTTAATTAAAAATGGCCAAGTTAGATATAAATAAAAGGTATTATTTTTTAAAACTGAAATTTTATATATACAATAAAAAAAATTTAAATAGTTTTTTTAGTTTTCTAAATACATTGATTTTTTGTTAACCCCTAAATTAAAATTTTTTTTTAAAATTTATTAAATATAAATTAATACTAAGTAATTAGAAAAACAGGTACCTATTAACAAATTGTAATACTTATTTTATTTTGTAAATTATAAACCAAACATTTACTTTAAGAAATGACAATTTTAAATGATTATTAAAAATATTTAATATGTACATTAATGAGTGTATAAAATTTCAGAAATCAATTTTTTTTTAAACGGATAACCAATAAAGTAAGTTTGTATATTAAAATAAGGAAAATAAAACCAATTTAAGACATCCTTAAGATATTTAAAATAAACTCTTTAAACAAAAGTGTCTATTAAGTCACAAAAAAAAAAAAAAAATAGATTACTGAATTATATATATATATATATATGTAATTTGTACATACCATCCAATGTAACATTGACAAAGATTTTCATTGGCAGTGGCCTGTAGAATGAGTAAATGCACTTGTTTGTTGACATCCAATTCTTGTTCATGTATGAAATCTCTACCAGTCAATTTTTCACGTACTCTAGTGACTATCGCTAAAGCTTTTTTGTTCAATGCTTCAGTCGGCTCACTCTCATCTTAAATTAAAAGACACCAGTTAAATAATGTTTCCAAATGCTTTATTTTTAAAATAACTCACTGGGATCATCTCCTGGAACAATGTTTATAGGTGCAGCTTTTTTACTCAGAGAAGCAGCAAAACTAGTAGCTAAACTCGTTTCATCTGAAACTGTAGTCACAGCAGAGGTCACACTTATTGGGTTCCCAATGACTGTAGGACCAGCAATAGTTGCAGCCGTTCTTCTAGCGCCAAC